TATTGTCGTTTCAATTGCGTGAAAATCTGACGAATTCGATTTGTAATTTTGAGTACAACTCGCACAATACACGTAGAATAATATTCATACGTGTTTTTAATTGTTTGAGTTTCGGGATTAATTAATTTTAAAACGCAAATCAAATTTTCTATACATGACATATTCGAAGTTTGCGTATTTACTGATTTTGATTAATTTTATTGCAATTGAAAGCTAATTTCACGTTTGTTGTTTTGCAAAACTTCAGAATCTCAGTAATTATTTGCTTGTAAACCACAGTAGTTATTATTTAATTTTATCAGATTATATATTATTAAAAATCTTATTTCATACACTATAAAGTGACAAAATATTAATTTCCTACACATGCGCACTTAGGTGTTATCAATATTTAAAGTTACGGTACCAATTTACAAATAAAAAATTTATACATTATTTTGTATCAAGAATACTAGGACTTATTTCATCCCAATTTTTATTATTTTTTCGTCATTAAAAAGTTCAGTTAATAGACTATTATTTTACAAAATTTGATTATAGTACGCATGCGCACTTAAAAGTTATATTGCTTTGAAAATAAAAATGGAAAATTTTCGTCTTTTTAATATAATTTTGTTAAAGTCTCCATTAATAGTTTAAACACCATAAATTTTATAAATTTTAACGTTTCGTAAAAGTTTAATTAACACACTATAACGATCAAAAATTTTATTATATTCTGTGCAATAAAAGTTGGACTTTTTTACAATAACAAAACATATGATGTTCGAAAACTACTCGTACTCTCCAGCATATACAATAATAAAATATAGATTGTGTTTTATTAAGTTATATGATGCGCAGTTGGCAAAAGGACGTTGAAAAAAATGAATTCCTGAATAGATATTGCATTCTTTACGAGCGCGCATCGACATGGAGACATCCAGCAAGCGGCGTTTCTCGTTATGGGCGCTTATTTACTCGCGTTTCACTTTGCGCCCGCGCTCGGATTCGCCGCCGTTCGCGCGGCAACTATCGTAATAAATCAGCAACTCGCCGCCGCCACAGCCGCAAGTTTGCATGAATTTATTTATTGCGGCGCTCACCATCGCTCCGTATTTATTTCCATTCGTTCGACAAACTTTTTTCCAAGTGTTTCAAAAGTCTATTAAAGAAACTAAAGCGACAAAAACCAACAAAAACTTGCATCAAACATCAACATTCATAAATCTCTATTTCATTTATATCTAAAACAGAAGCCAGTGGTATTTTTATTGCGATACGTTTTAATTTATTGTGCAATTTATGTCATATATCATTATAATACATAATAATAATGATATTTATCAGAACATCCTGTATATTTTTTATCATTTGCAACTATTGTAATGCGAAACGTTTGGGTTTAAGTTTACATTTCCATTGAATGTAATGTGAACGACACGGCAATTTGCGTTTTGCGGAATCCTCAATTTTTTTACAATTTATTTTTGGTTCAATTCAACCCTTTGCAACTGTTAAAGCTCTTTTTAGTTGTTATCCCTCATTTGTCATATACCTATCCCTCATGTGGGCATATGCAAATAGCTATCGTATTTTTAGAAAGCCTTTTTGGCTAAATTTTTGTGTTTTTTGGAAATTGATGTTATTTTTTGCTAATCCTTAATTAGTTTTTGCTGACTTTCCAATGTCAAAAAAAACACCATTAGTGTTTTACAAATGTTTTGAATAAAAACTGACTTTTGAAATAAATTTCTCTCGAAAAAAATTTTTTAATTAGGCAAAGGTAGAAAATATAATTAAAATCGCGGAATTTAATTAACTAAATACTAATAAACTATTCCGTGTGACGTTTAATAATTAAATTATTAAATTCCGTACACACGGCGCCTCCACCATTTATTTATTTTTTATTCCTTTTGGACTGAAGTTAAACATTTTTCTTTCCATTTTATGTTAAAAAATACATAATTAATTAAATAATATTAAATGTTTATTATTATAAATTTGAAATCTAAATATATATTTTTTTACATTTTTTTGATTTAATTTTTTGCCAATTTAAGAAAAACGAAAAACGTTTAATGAATTTTTAATATTTCTAGCCCAGCTGTCCGTGCGGAAATTAATCCTAAGCTTGACTAATGACTTTTTGATAATCTATTATGCAAAAGAAAATCTCCGGCAGAAAAAAAGTCGAAATCAATTTGACCGAAACCCTAAAGAATTTAAAGTAAAAGAAAGAAAAAACTAAAGCAACAGAAATGTCATCGTATATTTGGCACACATCCAACTTTACCCTACGAAAAATTTCACGCCGATTAAAAATGTTAATAATTCACATCATTGACAACTATTCATTTCTCTACGTTACGGAAACAAATCAAAAAGATGCTCGCCCAAAACTAGTAACTACTTTTCCTCTAGTAATATTTTAGTTTGGCTTTTAAAACAGTGAACGATGCGATAAAAATGTTTGAGTCGAGTTCATTTTTGTTTCGTTTTCGTTCGCAAAGTTAAACCGTACGTTTCTTTACTTTGCAATATTGCATCGCACGCTAACTTGTAGCAATTTCTTAGCTCCATCGGCGATTGCAGAGAGCAGTTCAATAAAAATATGTCCGTAAATAAAACTTGCTTTTGCTTTTGCGTGTCGCTGTGTGCGCGGAGATAAAGCGGCAGTCGAAACTTTCGGATTCCGGTTAAATAATGCATTTGTCATCCGCGGATGTCGGACTGTTGCAGTTTTACGTGCAGGGTTGCCAAGTCACATCGATTACAAGGGAAAAAATGTTGAATAAATGTTTTCAACCCATAGTGAACACAATATTTTAATTATTTATTTGTTTAGTTGTCATTTAGGCTTAACAATGCTTAAATTACCCAAAAATAAAATTAAAAAATCAATTTTATTACTTTTTGTGGTTAGGTTAAGTTTTTGGTTGTTATATTATGTTTTTTACATCACATTTCAGTAAAACAAAAGTATATAACCTACAAAACTTCAAATAACCTCAAAATTTGAATGTTTCTACTTTTTTATGAATATTTTTGACTTAGTACTCGTAAATAACGAAGAAAAAACATTAATTTTAAGTTTAAAAAACCAAATTATTTCTGATTTTGATTTGTAGAAAAGAAATATGATAAATCTCACTCCTAATGGTGTGAAAAATGTATTGTCCTTTTATCTGCACTGACTTTATTCTTTATTCTTGCCTCTCTGCGTAGGGTGTTTCTTACGATCGACCCTTAAATGTAAGGTGAATGTCTGTGTGTGAAAAGGGGTTGAAAAGTAAAAAGCCGTCCAATATCTTCGAAACTAACGCACGTTGGTTTTATACCGCGCGTTTTCTTCAAGTATAGAATGCGGGTCCTAAATTCTCTGGCGGCGGCGGCGGTGGCGGCAGCGTGTATCGTGAATTATGTTTTAGGCCTTCAGAAACACGCGGCGCCCGCAAGTTTCTTTAAGATTTTCGTTATTTATGCGCAATATAAACTTGATTATACAGGACCAACCCTTAAAACTTAAACCTTTCAACCCTCTTTCTTTTCTTCAATTTATCAATAATAAAAAATCGCATAAAAAATCCAGAAAATATTGTGTATATTGTAAAGGGATGAAAACACGGTAAACGTATAGATTGTAATAATATCGTTTGTAGTAGCTTAATTGAAACGGAGGGCTGGGGGTGCAATTAGATTACGACTGCATGACGTATTCCGGACGCGGCCGAGGCTGATTAAACGGCATCAAGAAACATCCTCAACAAACACACAGCAATATCCGCACGCAAACCTACCCTTTCCCAGTTTGTGTGCTTGGTGAAGGGTAGCAGGAGGTTAAGGGTAGTGGGATGGTGTTTAAATTGCGAAATGTGACGATATTTGCGATTTAAATTAACTCAAAATTGCATAACTGTTTGGTTTTGTGTTACTTGCATGTCAACAAGTCATAAATACAAAATGGCATCGCTGTAATATATGCAACACACACCGCATAACCTAAATTTAAGTCGTCATAATTATTTTTGTAATTTTAGGTTATGATGTCTTTAGAAACCCTCAATTTCTATTTGGTAAACCTTTGTAAGCCAAGTTAAAGCCAGTAAAGTGTCTATCTTGCTGGCAGATGTGCGCCGGTCACTTCTGGTCATCGCGAATAACAATCCAATTCGGCGAGCGTCCAATGATCGAATTCTAATTCGTAATTACGCGTCGTAATGCGTGGGCGCCGCGTTAAAATCTCGTTCGGCGTGCGGAGGTCGAAGGCTTTACGATTGCCGGAATGTGAATGGCGGTTTGCTGCGAGTGGACAATGTGTAACTGTAACGCGCTTCGGGTGGCGGCGGTGGCAGTAGCGGCGGGACGCGGGACCATATTGAGTCGTCCTGGTCCGGCTGTGGATGCACAATGTAATGAACAATGCGACCGCACTCACCACAGCCGCCGAACTGCCGGACCGCCCGTCTGCAATTATACAGATCGATTCCGCATCGCACCGGACGTTTGGGCCGGATGTATCGAAAACGCAGCTGCGGCGGCAGCGGAACGGTTTTAATATGGTGTGATATTATTTCGTTTAACGATATTTTGCTTGTATAATCACACAAAACTTTGTAATAGCTGAAATACAAACGGAAAACTTTTGTTTTGTTCAAAAACGACGTAAAAATATGATTCTAACCTATAAAACTTAATATAACCTTATAAATAAACATAAACATGTGTATATCTAGTAAATTTTTAAGGTTACTTTTAGTTTTTTTAGGTTATATTCATGTTTTTACTTAATAACATAATAAAACTATTTGAAAATAAAAGTTTTCTTCATCTGTTGTCAATTTCAAGTCTTTAATTTGTCTTATTGACTAAAAAAACTAGTAATCGATCTATATTTGTAGAATTTTGAAGGTTATTCTAAGATTTCTAGGTTATATCACTGTTTTTCCATTCAAATTTCAAAAAAATAAAAGATTTCCTCCTGCTTGTTTATAATTCATTATTTTTCATGTTTCCAGGTGGAGATGCAGCAGCACATGCAGTGAAACGTTTCACTGGTCTATACACCGGTCCATATTTTGATCCAACCACCACAACAAACATCACCACCCAACTGGGCACACACGCTTACCTCCCTTGCAAGGTAAAACAGCTGGGCAACAAATCCGTGTCGTGGATCCGGCGCCGAGACGCGCACATCCTCACCGTCGACCGGTACACGTTCATCGCCGACGACCGCTTTCAGGCTTTCCTCGTCGATTCCACCGACACGTGGACACTACAAGTGAAATACGTACAGGCACGTGACGCTGGCCAGTACGAGTGCCAAGTGAGCACAGAACCCAAGATGAGTCATTTTATTACGCTCAATGTTGTCGGTAAGCAAAACTAACCTTAAAATAAACATATTTCGCCATTTTACTTGGGTAACCATCGTCATTTTGTGATTTACAGTGCCGAAGATTGAAATCATCGGCGAGGCGGAAGTCTACTTCAAAACCGGAAGCAAAGTGAATCTCAAATGTGTCATCACACAATCACTAGAGGAACCAGCTTATATCTTTTGGTATCACGATGGTGAACGGGTTTTGGAATATGACAGACGAGCGATTGATATTAGTATGGAACGCGTTGGTGCTGACACGACCGTCAGTACACTTTCGGTGTTTTATGCTAAACCGGAAAACTCGGGGAATTATACATGTAGCCCATCGAATTTGGACTCGGCGAGTGTTTTACTACACGTGCTAAACGGTAACAGATCTAACCTCAAATATTTCAACCTCTAAAACAATAAATTTTGTATTTTTTGTTTATTTAGGTGAACATCCAGCAGCAATGCAACGCGGAAAAACTCCGCATCACCAATTCCGGGCTGGTCCCATCTGTCAATGGGTCTCGGCTTGGCGGCGTGCACACCCCCGCGGTTCGCATTCGCCGTCGCGCTCACCCTCGCCGCCATCGCCCAATTGTTAATCATTTAATTAATTCTAACGCAGTGCGAGCGTTGCAAACGTTGAAGATTTCACTTTGGTTTGTTATTGATTAGATTTTATACAAAATGGATGTGTTGCTGGAGCGGAGGAGAGCCAAACAACGTTGCAGATTGCGAAAACTACATATTCAAGGACAACCAATATTGAATATAAGCAAAACTTGACAAAAAATGACGAAAATAAATTCACAACTTACATTTTAAACGTGTAATACTGTAATTAAATGAATATGAATAACTAAGCATTATTCGCAAAGTCCTTTTAATACATATATTGTATACCTAATTGTAATTAACGATTTCTATGTGCTGTGGGGATGAATGCAGAAAGCAACACTTGGAAGCGCAATGTGTCTATCCATTGGAGATTATAATTATTCGATAAAAAATAATCATTTTCATGTACATACGTTATGACTACGAATTGTTTTCACTAAAAATATGAATGAAATAACAGCGGGCGACGTGAATAATAAAACATAACCTAACTTAAGCCTAAAACTAAATAAAGGTGTGATTTATTAGTTAAATTCTGTCAGATGAGAATGCGATGAATGTAATATGAATAATATCATTCAGTTTGATTTAAAAAACCGAGAAAATTACACACAAACACAGAGAAAAATGAAGAAAATTGTAACTGGTTAAGAAATGTAAACGTAATTACTTCGTAAGCAGCAGACACACAGTATAAACCACATTAATCATTACATTTACCCACTAAAGATAAATGAAAGAAGTGTATAAAGTATTTTTACTGTCGATGCAGACGTTCGAAACACTCAATGTGCAATACATGATTTTGAAACATGTCAATATATTAATTCAGCCACAAATGGACGCTAAATATTGAATAAATAAATCATTCCTTTGTATTATACTATAAGATGGGTGAGCGTGTAAAAAATTAACGACTAAACAAAAGCTTTGGATGCGATTGGTGGAGAGATAAGAACGATATTTCGAAAAGGACTTTGATGTTCTTGTTCTTTGATCATTTAATTGATCTCACTTGAATGTAAGAGAATGGAATCATGATGTGAGAGGTATGGCGATGGATTGGAGAATAAATATGTACGTGAGCTGTTACTCAAAATACTATTTAAAAATATTAATGAAGATGGCGGGAGGGGAAAAAACCAAAGGTGAAATTATTAGCCACATAGGGTTATGTTTTGATTTTTAAACAATTTCATTGATGTACTTTAGGTAAGAAAACAGAATGTAACCCAATACTTTATGTTAAATAAATCGTTAATAAAAACTACCCAGATAATTGCTAATTGGATTGCGAATTATTTGAGATTTATGAATGTATTTCAGATGGTTTGTGTCAAAAAAGTAAGTATTTAAAGAAATTGTTGTTATTTTTGTAATTTTTTTAATATTGAAAAAAATAATTAATTAATTTATATTCAATATTGTTTGCTTTAATATGTTGCAAATTGTTATTATGTATTTTTGTTCACTTTGAAATTCGTTTACTCCTATTTCTTTACGATTTATCTATATGAGCGTCAGATAAATAGTCGGGTGTAAACCCGCGTGTAGTAGAGATTGGAGAGTGAAGGTGAAGTGGTAATATTGCTGCAACAATGTCATTTCAACAGTTGAGTATTTTTAGTTAAAAACTGCATCCTAGCGCAATCTATGAGGAATTTAGAATATCACTCACACCAATTGTTTGGCTGTAGTTGTGGGTGTGCATGAATCGCATGGAATACGGATATGTGCACGTGAATACATGTTTGACGTATAACAATACGAGTAAATGAATAGATGTAGTTTTTGTATTAAATTCGTATAGGATATATTTAGCCCTCTTATGGCTTTGAAACTGGTGCAACATGTCATTCTACTCGTATCTATTTTCGCCTTTGCTTATCCTCATCTCCCACAAAAATATTTCTTTCTCAGTAATTAACTCAAGAGATTTACAAAATGCGTAACTAACTTCTTAAGTCGTAAATATTATAACGAAATCAACATTATACTTATAAATTGATTAAAATATTGCATTTTAAAGAGTAATTAAGCCCACTACAATTTGTGTGTTTTAAATTGTTTTAAAATACTAGTGTTATTATATACCTATTTATATTTACTTTTCATTCTGTTCACGAGTATGTTAGTATTTATATTTACTAGTATTTACTAGTAATAACACAAGCGATAGAGAAATATAATCTGCATTAAAACAGGCGTGTACTCTCGATTGCAAAGTCAAGGTAATCATGCATCGTTGTAGCAACAATATCGCATTAACACCCGAGTATATATAGTGAAAAACTGCATCTGTATGCCAGCTAAGAATAGTTTCAAACTGCAAATAATAAAGCTCGGTCGCATTTTGCATGTTGAAGTAACTGAATTATGCGTATGTGTTGTTACATGCACCTTGAAGTTAAATACACACTTGTGTAGATGTGCAAAATGTCTCATTTGCACTAATAATACTCTTTCAGTACAATTTTAAATATGTATTAATTTTCGATAACACAAGGTGCCGCCACATTGTCTGAATTTGTTTCAACGTAAGAGATGCAAATTTGGAATTTTAACAATAATAAAGACTTGATTAAAAGGCTAGAAGTCTTCCATAAAATTATTCTAAGCATTATAAACAAGAAAAAGCAAAAATGTTTTGCTACTCGAGTTTTATTCAATAAACTTGACCTGTTCAACAGATCAGTTTCTGCCACAGATCTAAACGCTTCACATTATGTCAAAATAGTAAAATATCACTAAATCTCAATTGATTATACAAGTCAAACATCATTTATAGAGCACAACCAGTCTTAATTATTAGTAATCTCAGTTTAAAAATTAGTTAATGTCCATTTCTTGATTCTCTTGATCTTCATCATCCACCTGATTGTCTTGTTCTTGCTTAATATGATGATACAACTTCAAAGAAGCCTTAAACATGATAGTATATATCAAATTATAATTTCAATGCATCTGACATCAGATTATAACACTTACATAAGCATCCAAAGCTGCATAAACTTGCTGTGCTTCTGAAAGTGGAGCAACATGCCATTTACTCATTCGAACTGCTTTGTCTTTGCTTATTCTCATCTCAAACTTAAATAAACCACAAATTATCACTCTGTCAGTACTTTACTCCAAAGTTAACTTACAAAATGCAAAACTAACTTCTCAAGACTCCATCTCTGAGTAAAACCAGCCACAGTATTAGCCATAACACCCAAATCAATGCAATTATCTACTGCTTTGTCAACATCAAAACCTGGGAAATCTCTATGCAGTTTTCTCACATCACTAAAAACATTTTATTTACATTTAAATGTACCAAGATTGGTGTATATTATGTTATACTCATACTTTTTAACACAAATACCAGTCAAACGCACTTTATCATGACATAATAACTCTGTCAAAGCTTTGGGAAGTTTATTTGAACTGCTAACTTGCAGCACATAACAAATATCTAAATTTGGACTGATTTGGACCACTGAGGCTTTGCCTGAACCAGTTTGAAAGCTAAATGGCCATTCAATATCAAAACCAAGGATGAATAAGTCTTCTGTCTTGTTTGCTTTATCACTGTTGCAAAAAATTATGTTTAAACAAGTAGAGGTAAAATTTAAAGAGAAACTTACAGTAATTTCGCACAATTTTCAGCAATAGAAGTAAAATCAGTGCTGTAGACTATTTTACCTGGATATTTAATGAAAGGAGCCGTATCTACAAGGGCCTTTTTCCGTTGTACTTCTTGCTATAAAATAATTATACATCATATGAACAGTAAACAACAATTTGCGCGCGTTTACTAACCTTTGCAATAACATCTTCGTTTCTTTCAGTTAAAGGCACTTGGGAGCGTGTTCGCATCCTAGTCATGCTCATTTTATACGTAGAAATAAATAAGAGAAAGACTACTTAAAGAAGAACAAATAGTTTGGTTTAAATTAAGTTAAAATAAGCTAAATATCAGTGAAAGTGAAAGAATATTATAACCGTCACAACGGTCGAGATGAATGATTTGAGCGCGCAAATACTGCGCATGCGCCTTATACAATTTTCAAATTTATCCTATGCAACCCAAGTTGTAGCATCTTTATTGTTGATTAATCATTTCGGTTTTCATCAAACTGAGTTGATCAAGAAAAACAAAGTCTCATTCATTATGACCAAATATGACAAATGTCAGTGAAAAAATACTTGAACCGTTCTAACGGTTAAGGAATGATATTGAGCGCTCACATATTGCGCAGGCGCCTACAACATTTTGTACCAGTTTTAAATCAATTTCGTTTTCAACAAACACGACGCCGTGTAGCATCTTTTCCGCATTATTTCGGTAAGAATAATAAATTTTATTTAAATCTCGATTAACAATACATATTCGCTATAAACTAAGCATTACAGTTTTACTGACAAGTATATCGATACAAAAGTAGAGTAAATTCAATAGTCATGTATATTTAAGGCATTAATTAATCTGAACCGTGGTGTTCATTTGTTGTAAAAGCACGCGAATCACTCAATTCAGTGCATAAGTTCAGTCAGAATCAGGCATTTGTCATTTGTTTCGTTCGAAGTTACATTTACGCATTTCACGTTGTGAATAATGATGGTGAGATTGAGTGCTTGCGCAAATTCAGCACTTGTAGCATTTCTGGTTCTTCTCGTCGTCTTTTTTATTATTTGTTAATGTGAATTGCTCTCTGTCTCTTTGGTTATGATTGGCATTTATTACATCATTGGTTAAGATCTGAAACAATCCACAATCGAAGTCAGTTGAAACATGAATAATATTGAACCTACTTCATTAATTAATGATCTTGTTGCTTCCTCCACGTTGACATTTTCTTTGGCTGAGGTTTCAAACCAAGCAGAGAAGCCTTTCTCCTTGCAGAATTCGTTCATTTTGTTGGGATTATTAACAATTCCTTCCTTTTGTTGATCACACTACAATAATTAATATGAAATAAGGTACAGAATGGTAATTTTGGTAAATATTTACCTTGTTTCCTAATAAAACACATGGAATTGATGATCCATCAGGGAGTTGCACTTTGGAGTCCAAGTCCGCCTTCCAATTTGACACAGACTCAAATGTGTTGGATCTAGTTACATCAAAAACAATAAAGGCACCCACTGCTTCTTTGTAGTACACTCTTGTCATGTTTCCATATCGTTCTTGTCCTTAAAACACAAAATAAAACAGTTTTTGAAGTGGTATTTTGAATTAACCTGCAGCAACATAACTAAGTAGTGTATAATGGGTTGCATACATATTTTGGTTATTTTATTACTAAAGCGTTGCAATTTTATAAATTTTGTTTTTTTGATAGGAAATAATCATGTTTTACCTGCAATATCCCACAACTGTAACCTAATCACAGTGTTGGCATCCCAATGTAACACCTTCAGCGCAAAATCCACGCCGATTGTAGCCCGATAATGCTGCGAGAAAAAATCGTGGACATATCTCTTGATAATGGAGGTCTTTCCGGCCCCTAGGTCACCAATAACGAGGATTTTATACAAGTGGTCTTTCGTTGGCTTGGAAGCACTAAGATTATTGGACTGCAACAGAAAAAATACAAACATAATCATAATCAGATTATTTAACTTTATAAGTTTAAAGTAAACGCAAGTAAGTAATATTAAGTTGACACTAAGACCTCCGCTATCTCAAAGTGACAATAATTTATCATCACTTTTTGAGCTCAATAAACATTACACATGAACTCGAGTCATGCGTGCGTGCAATGCGTGTAGTAGACACGATTGATTTATGAAATACATGAAATACAAAACGCACTGCAATCTGAACTGCAGTTGAATGTTACATGGTAAAATACAGCATGCAAACAATACCTAAGGCAATATTTGTTTAACAAGTAGCTTAAGTTACAAAAACAATAACACGAATATTAAATTTCAGACTCAGCGCACTAAAATAGACGAAACTTATTTTTATGACGCCTAAAGTTATGCAACTTATTCTACACTTATACAAATTTAATATTTTTACCACTCTTGTATCAACAATCAATTCTCCAAACGCAGGCATCGCTTGAATATCCTCTAAAGATCTGATTCTTTCCTTTAAGACTTCTTTTTTGATTTTTTCAACCTCCACACTTTTATTTTTATTAATCTTCTTTTTATCTTCCTGTTTTTCTTCTGTATAATTTTGCACTTGTACAATCTCGACGTTTACTTGACTCCTGCTCAATTTAGCGTCTTCTGTATTCGTGGCTTCCTCTGAATCTAGCGTCAAATTTTCGGCCGACTTCCAATTGTCAGTGAGATTTGTATCGGAGGCGGTCCCGTCCGGCGACTGCCTCCTCACGTTATCAATGGTATCCTCCTCGGGTAAAGAGGAAGCTTTCTCTTCACTCTCCACAGACGAAGAAATACTCGGTGTGGAAACTCCACTCTTTTGGTTTTGCGAACCTTTCAATTTTAATTTCTTAATAAAAGAAGAACCACTACTCGTCGATTTTTTAAGTTTTGATTTTTTAATGTTTTGCGTATCGTCTTCTTTCATTTTGAGACGCAAATGTAATGGAACAACGTGCGACGCGTAAAGAATTACGAGACATAATGAGAAACTCACCTGAGTTATAGTATTACCTGTGTGAGTTTCATACAAACCTCCCCACTACGCAAAATTAAAGGATTAAATTACGCAAAGATCAAATTAAGAGCAAAATATGTTAAGTAATTAAAAATTAATCAATTAAAGCACTAAAAATGTTAATTCATTATAAATATTATTAAACTTTTAACTTTTCTAATGTTTATTTTGTGTTTTGTTGATATTATGGTGAAAATCAGCGTTGAAAAGCCACAAAAGTGTAATTATAGGGAAACCGATATTCGTTGCACCTGAATACACTTCCGTCTAGCACTAGTATCGTTTCCTCAGTGTCTGTCGCTAAGTAAAGCCACAAAAGTGTATGAAATCAATAATTTGTCTATTGAGAATTGGCATATCAGCGTATCAGCGTATCTACATCAAGTACTAATATAAAAAAGTCACTGCGTTGGTTATTTTATCGCTATGATAACAGAATCACGTATTTACCGTTAATATAATTAATATTAGTACATAAGTATTTAGTTGGTAGCCTACTGGGATATTTTATATAGGCAACCAACAGGGCAATAACCTATAACACTAGATCATTTATATTTTAGACATTTTCGTAGCTTTTAACTTATTTTACTGTAACTTTATGTGAGTTAAGATTTTTTAGCATAGTTGGTAGTCTATTGGAATATTTTACATAGGCAACCAACAACACACAAACCCGAAATGCAAAATAAATTATATTTTATATGTTTTTGTTCTTTTTTTAAAGTATTTAAGAATTTTACAATAAATTAATGACAGTAGTCTACTGAAATATTCCTTATAGGCAACCAATAATACAATAACCTTTAAAATTCCTTAATTTACTATTTTATGTGCTTTTAAACTAATTAAAAATGGAATTTTGATGCTTTTGACTTCTATAACTTACATTACTGTGATTTACCGATTGACAACTCCGTCGAACACATGTTTTGTGTTCAAGATGGCCGCCACACTTTGCGCAGTTATTATTAACTGTATCTGACGGTTGCGACTCGTCATCGTCGTCATCATCGGTTATATTCTGTGATTGCAGATATCTCTGTCGTCTTCGCGTGCGTTCGCCACGTGACCGCCGACTTAAATTTCTTTTCACACCGCCATTTGAATTCCCCGACGAACCGGAACTTTTGGTTGTTACATTATTCATCAAAATTTCTTCTACCATTTTGTTTTCGATCAATTTCCACAACAATTTCACACTAAATTTAATCTTTGTTTAGTTTTCTGAGTACACTCTCACTGGTATAATATTTATGTGCTGTTTTTGCGTTGCTTTTACATCAACTGCGAATCGATTCGATGCTGAACTGATCCTTGAATAAAGTGAATACTCGAGCAGCGTTAATGTGCTTGTTTGTTATGTTGGCTTGCGGGATGGTAGAAATAACAATTCTCGTTACTGTCGAACTGTCGTTAATGTCAATCGGTACTCTTTTACTCTCTTATCGTATATCGTCTGTTGACGATTACGACGCAGCATACAATTCTAATCGATAAGTTTCGATCGGCAAACAAGCCGCAGGCACATTCGTCATCAACAAAATTTTATAAAAATACGCATTAAATGATGCAATTTGTCAAAAATCACGAGGATATTAGATTTATACGTTTTATTTTTGCATATTTCGAGATACTGATTGAGTTCAGTGACCTTTTATCAACCGCAGACGCCCCAAAAATTAATGAAGCATCAAATATGTTAATTTATTATTAGAACAACTGGTATCGCAAAGATTCACATCTTAAACTGGTAAAAAACAAGATTTATTGCGTATTTTTAGCGAAATCTGAGTGCAATCTCAAAGTATGCAACCCAATGTACACATAAGCGTCAAGTATATGTTTATATTGACCTAACCTCATTTTTATGACCTTATTAAGAAAAATTGATAGCAATAATAAATTTTGACACACATTTTAAACTGTAATCACATAACTAATAATAAACAAACAAAGTATTCAGTTATCTCGGTTGATAAAATGGTTTTTCATTAATTTTCTTCCAAATTTACGACTTACTGATAAAAATCTCAATAATTATCATAAATATCACTGTAGATTTAGATAGTAATGTTGTGATAATGATTCATACATTAATATTGTGCTCTGTTTGAGTTTCAACAATTATCACCACGTACGTTGTATCTCAGTGATTTGATTTATCTTAAAATAACTTTTCCGTTAATAAATTTATTGATTTCTTCAATTTTTTCCACTGATGGAAACTTAGCGTCGGAATATTATCAACCATTACGTAGTTAACAATGTTTACAAGCAATAAATGTTTATATTGTGCGACTTATCAATCAATAAATATTTTATTTCGCTTTTATTTGCAGTGGTGGCGTGCAATGAGTCGAGAACAGCATAAAAGTAAATACAACTTGTATAATACATAAATATACAAACAAATATTACAATTATTATTAGAAAATTTAATTTTAAACTTACCATTTTAATAATTGTTGATAAAACACGCACAATTTGAATAAAAACAAGTTTTGTACACTTAAAAAACTGCACTCTGACTAGAACGACGCGTGTTGGCTGCACGTCACCGTAAAACCATTTTTATGTACTTGAAGTACTTAATTTGTTGACAATAAAAATGTCCAAATGTCAGAAATTCACTTATCAAAACTATATGTTAATGTTAATATCACGAATGTCACCAACTACAATGTTGTAGATGTGTTGTTTTAAGTAATGTGAATATTTAACGACTAGATTTTTCGTGGCTGTGATCGCGAATCAAATTAACGCATGTGTGGGACGACGGTATGCGGCGCACGGTGTGTGCTCGCAGTCTCGCGGCCTCTCGGTGTTATTTAGTTATTTTCCGACGATGGTCGGCGATGGCGTGCGCCGACGAGCCGCTGATAACATGACGAGACGCAGGCGGCATGATAAGCACGCAGCACGAGCAGCCGGTGGCCGGCGTGCTGTCGCGTCGATGCGCTCAGGCAGGAATCTGCTGAAAATCGATGCGCGGTGAGAGCGGCTACATTTCAGCGTTTAATTCGTGAAAATCGGTTGGGTATTCGCTGAATTATCATTAAATATAGATTTGCATAGTTTCCATCTGTGACAAAATGGCGTCATTAAAAAAAGACAATCGGAGAATAAACATCTTTTGTTTTTGGTGATTTTTACTTATTTAAACAGAAATAAACACTAAAAATTGTACAAACCATAAATATATCATTGATTAATTAATATTCATTAATATTGAGTAAAATTTATGTTTTATTTTGATAATATCCAAGTTTTTGGTGAAAAATAGTTTAAAATTGAATACTACCGCCATTTAAAGCAGATGCAACGCCATAACTTGGAACTAGAAGCACAACAAGCGCCTAAAATCTCTTAAAACCGTTGTGGAAATATTTTTGAAGGTTAACAACTCAAGTTCTCGAAGGTTTTCTTCAATATTATCTAAATTAAACCAATTTAAAAAAAAAAATACACTACAAAATGGCTCACTTATCAATTTCTCGTACAAAAACTATCATGAAAACAACAGACGGTGCTGATTCCATCAGTAAAGAAGCTGTTTTACTCACTAGTCGAGCAACAGTAAGTTAAAGTCAAAATCAACTTATTTAATGGTTATCTTCAATTTCTGCACATTAACACTCAATTTTTAGGAGTTATTCATCAAAGAATTGGCTCTTGCTGGTTATGCTGACTTAAAGAACTCATCCAGTAGCAAATTAAACTATAACAACTTAGTTAATGTTGTTCATAAGGATAGTAGATATAGTTTTTTGGAATATATGATTCCTAAGAAGATTACTGTTAGAGAATATAAAGAAATGATGAGGAAGAAGGAGAAAGGCACTAGTTCTGAATCTGGAACAACTGATGATTCTGAAGAAGAAGGTAGCTCTGCATCTAATGAGACTGGCAGTGATGCTGGTAGTGAAGGCAAATAGCCCTCACAGTGTCTTTTAAGTTAATTTTATATTAAGTTTTAGTATAATTGGTATAAATTATTTCATTTTAGTTAAGTTATTGTAACAATACAAATAGAATTCACTGTTTTGTAGGTGAAATGTGCTTTATACTATGTATATTATCACAGATTTAGTGTTAATGCTATGTAATTATTATGAAATATTTTTTTACAAGATAAATTATGTATTTTTGAAAATTTTGAGATTTGTTGTTATAAACTTATTGCGATGGCGATGATAATAGTTCAAGTTTTCACCACGTTCGTAGCTTAAACTTTTGCCACGGAATATAAAACTGTCATCTAGCGGATTTATTTTGAACTAAGAAATAATCCCGCGGTGCGGTACGCGTTTTTATGCAAAGCTTCCAACTGTTTCCTCTTAATTCTGACAGTACTTGACGGAAAACGTCATGTCATATCATGTGGCCGAGTTTGCCGAGTGTATGCAAGTTGTGGTTCGCTCCTGTGCTTCTAGTCACTGGGTAATTTAATAATTTCACGCACCGGAGTGAAAATTTCACCGATTTCTGAATGATAATGTGCGCGAAATACGGCTGGCTTCTCGCTGCCGTTCATTTATTTGTGCTTACTAGCGGTGATGAGCTGCTAGGCTGCGGCGGCTTCCTGAAGAGCCATGTACAAATCGACTTTTCCAAAGTTCTAATTAAATTGTAAGTACGCAGCTTACATACAACAAGTCACAGGAAATTTAATTACTGAAATGTGACGTGTTTTACAGAGTTACCAAGCAAGGCGTTGTGAAAGACCAGACAAATTGTGCTCCCAAAACTGGGTATTACTTCATTCCACTTTATGATAAGGGAGATTATTCATTACAGGTAAATAGTTTATTTTATTGCTCTACAAATTACAAAGTGAGGGTATATGCTTACTAATTTTGCTTCTATCAGTGATTTTTCATTCATTTTATTGATTAATTTTAATAGAGATTCATAAAAATTATGTTTTCATCTGTTATTTATTAAAACCTAGCTACTGTAACTGATTTATTTTACAAGAATTGCTGTTTTTTAAACTTAAAACTATTGTTTTTATAGTTGGAACCGCCTCCAGGCTGGAGTTTCACACCAAATAAGATAGACATCTCAGTTGATGGCAAATCAGACTTGTGCTCCAAAGGAAAAGACATTAATTTTGTCTTCAAAGGCTTCGGTATTGCCGGAAAAGTGCTGAGTCATGGCAGCAGTATTGGTCCAGCCGGCATTAAAGTGAAGTTAATCTCCGAAAACGAAGTCAGAGATACTCTCACTGATAACAAGGGTGTCTTTGTTTTCACTCCAGTTTATCCTGGCGAGCATACAATTGTTGCAAGTCACGAAAAGTAAAAAATCTTAAATAATTCTTAAATAGAACATAAACTTAATTTGCCACTATTACTTATGTTCCAGATGGAAATTTGTAAATGATAAAGTTTCCATTACTGTTAAAGAGGGTAACACCAACTTACAAGATGGCGTACTTTCCGTAGCAGGTTATGATGTCAGGGGCTACGTCAAAATAGACGGCGCTGCTGTCGCTGGTGCCAAAGTTTTGCTATTTTCACAGGTAATACTACAAAAAATTAGTTTTTTGAAATTTTATTATTTTCAAAATTAATTTCAATATTTAGACTCCTGATGCTAAAGTAGAACAGTGCCAAACATCCATCCCTACGGGCTACAAAGGTGCCAAACCCACGTGTCACGTGGTGACCGACAAAGATGGCGTTTTTCTGTTTCCTACCGTTTCCACTGGGAAATATAAACTGGTACCTTACATGGAACAACCCGTCCATTTCGAACCCACTAGCATTGAGTTCGAAGTACAACTTGACTCGGTAAAATTAAACAAAGACTTCAATATTGTTGGTTTAACCGCGACTGGATACGTAAAAGTAGGCGATAAGCCGCTAGGTGGCGTTACTGTTACACTAGATGACAAACAAACTTTTGTTACGAAAGCTGACGGATCGTTTAAAGTAGAAAAAGTGAAGCCTGGCCAACATACTTTGAAAGCACAAGCTGAAGACTACGAATTTGGTACTGTAGCGTTTAAATTGTCACCAACATCGAGTGTATTCCCAACGATTACGCCGACAGCGTTTAAAGTATGCGGCGCTGTCATCAGCGACAAAATGGAGGGACATTCTGTATTAATGACTAAAATGGGATCAACTACCCATTTAGAAGTGCAGTCTGATGGGGCAACTGGCGAGTTTTGTGAGTTTTTGTCGAAGGGACGGTATCAAGTACAAGTGAATGTTCAAGACAAAGCATTACAGTAAGTATTCATAAATTTTAAAGTTATGTGAGGTTAAATATGTTTATTTTTGACAGATTTTTCCCTCTAATGCAAACTATTGAAGTAAACGCTCCACTTTCAAACATTATCTTCTCGCAATTGAAAGTAACCGTCAGTGGAACCGTGAATTGCATCAATCAGGAAGACTGTAAACGACTTAAAGTCATTTTGCGTCCAGTAGACAAAGCGGATGAAATGATCGCCAATGTGATTGATGGAAAATACACCGTTTCGGATATCCGGCCTGGTGAATACAGAATTACACTGTCTTCAAATCGTCTTTGTTGGCAAGCCAATGAACACACCGCGCAAGTATCCAACGCCACGTGGACTGCGCCTGCGTTTATTAACACTGGATACGCCATTGCTTTTATTTCCACGCATGATACATCCGTCATTTATGATGGTAAAACAATTCAAATCCCTAAAGGTACTTCACAACACTGCGTCCCACAACCTGGCAACTATAAATTCAAACTTGACAGTTGCCATAAATATGAATCGGATGTAGTGGACTACAAAACAACTCAAGATATCAACGAAATTGTCCTCACAGCGTTAAAACACAAGGTGACACTTGATATCGACGCCAAAGAGAATTTAGGCGATCTTATAATTGAGGCTAACATTGATAACGTTAAAACTCTGCATGATAAATTGAAGTATAACGCTGCGAAGAAGACGTATAGTTTGGAATTGTATCTGAATCCAAGTGACAAAGTGATTTTAACACCACAATCCGATACGGTATTCTACAATCCGCCGGTATTGTCTGTTAATGGAGAAGAAGACTGCGTTAATTTAGGTGGTAGATTTTTCGCAAAGAAGGGAAAAGTTTTCAAGGGGCGTGTTACGCCTGCGTTGAAAGGCGTGGTTATTACCGTCACAGGCGGAGCGTTGACTTTGACAGAGGAGACTGATGCAGAGGGCAAATACAAATTTCCTCCGCTAGATGATGCGGAGACTTATGAAGTTACCGCGACGAAAGATTCGTATATTTTGGACGGTCCCAATGCTTCCGGTGATTTTTCCGCTAAGAAATTAGCTGAGATTATTGTTGAAGTGGTTGACAAAGACACCAAGGCGCCATTACAGGTAAATATTATTTAAAAAAAATTAAGATAACCGCAATATTAATATGTTTTCTAAACAGGGGGCGCTGCTGTCGTTATCCGGAGCTGAAAGTTACAGAAGTAACATGCAAACTGACGAACAAGGAGTAATCATCTTTGGTAGTTTATCACCGAGTGAATATTTCTTAAAACCGATGATGAAAGAGTATTCATTTGAACCTGCATCGAAAAGTATCAATGTTTTAAACGGCGCTACTGAGAAAGTTGTTTTAAGGTTAGTAATTCAAGCCTTATTCATTATTTTTGTTTTATAACGCCATATTTTACAGAGGTAAACGAGTGGCTCACAGCGCTTATGGTCAAGTTGTAACCCTTGCCAGCACGCCAGAAAAGACATGGTCGTTGTCGCTAGCGGTATTAATAATTGCACGGAACTTGCCGAAGAAGCAACGACTGACCATCTGGGTAACTTCCGTATTCGTGGTTTGATTCCCTACTGCGCTTATCGTATCACTGTCAAAGCATCTTTACAAGAAAACGATGTGATTGAACGTGTCCTTCCTCATGCCATCACTATTGATGTAGGTTATAACATAACTTAACCTATAAATTAGTTTAGTATAACTTATAATATGATTATATGTTTTGTTTGAACAGAAAGTTACTGAAGATTTGACTGATCTCCGCCTTATCGTCTTCCGACCTGCGAGTAACGTTGACGTCTACGTTAAAGTTTTCACCGCCAACGTTGACCACTACCGCAGTCTACGATTGAAAATCACCCGCGAATCAGCTCCAGCTGGGCTCGTTCATAACCTTAAAGTCGACACGTATAAAGTCGCTGCTGATAATAATATCGGCATCATGTTATCCACACCTTCTATTCCTTTAGACGGGAAAGTCTACTCCATACAATTGGAGTCCTCTAATAGCGGTTTATTGGGTAAATCGACTGTAAAGTCATTCACTGCGGATACAAGTTATAAATTTGTTGAGGTAGAGTTTACTGCGCATACTCACGTGGCTGAGCAGCAGATTAAACAGGTGTCCACATCGACGTTAGTCTTTGTTTTCGGACTTATGTTAGCCGCGTATAATGTTGACAAAATCGTCGATTTTCTAAAAAATAACTTTAATCTTCAAAGTCCGATGGCTTTGACAAAAGTAAAGACTGCAACGCCTGAGCATCACTTAGCCGATGCAGAAATTGAGAAAATCGTGGAGAATATCAATGCTCCCAAGAAGAAAGTTAAGTCAAAGCGGGTTTAAGTAAGTAGTATTAGTATTTAGAAGACTTTATGTTCATTTTTTATTGTTGCCATCGAATTGCAATGGAATTAAAACGGAAAAATCTATTACAACCCTCTGTAGATGGTTCAATTTGATATTAATGCGTGCGAGTCGTGTGCGGCACGAAAATTTCGTTGATTCTGTGTATGTTTGTATGTCTGTATAGTCCTGTAGCCATGCGCACGAAAATTCAAGCCATAAAGTCTGTGCGCCTTTGATATACAGTCAGTTGACGCCGTGCGGCTCGCGTGCGAAGTTTGTTTGGTCGTTGTTGTGAACGCGATTAGTCCCGCGCGGTGCCTCCGCCAACATGGACGCACCGGGTGCGAACGATGCGCGCTCGCCGACGTCGCCAACAGGTGCGAATGATATGGTCACGGCGAATTATAACAAGCTCTCGGATCATATTCGCCGGTTAACGCCGCAAGGGATTCAGTGCAGCGTCTTTTGCGGTGGGACCAACTGCAAGTATGAGAATCCTGAAAACTGGACGGCGGATAATTTGGCTTTGCACGGACTTTATTCTAATTGGTGAGTAAACATTTTGGCCAAAAGACAAAATACAGTGAAACGTCGGTAATCCGCACACAGCTTAATCCGGCAAACCTTGTAATCCGACATGGACATATGCCATTTGTACTTTAGGATTTGTAATTTGACGGATTTAAAAGGTATTTTTTTGTAAAAAGTTCCGGACTGTAAGGGGTCTTAAGCACTTTTCTATAATCCGACAAATTCGCTCATCCGACACTGCCCTGCAAAGTGATTGTCGGATTACCGGGATTCAACTGTATGTCACTTTGAGATAGTTTTGAATATATTTTTTTTAATTTAAAATGGCGCTCAAAGGACAACAAAATAAGTTTTTTCAAAAATATGAATTTTGCGATTAGAAAGTCACTTTCCATGCTCTCCTGATAAAATATGCACGAGAACAAAACTGAAATCGGCAATTAGTGGCCAATATCAATAAAACTATCGATTTATCAGATTGTGACAGTGCGACCACACACGAAATATAAAGCTTGCAAGTGCAAGGACGATAAACACGCTCCTGTCACACATTCCACCGCGCCTGACACGTGAGGAATTAAATAGTTTCACCTAGTTATTAAAAACAATGCGTGCAAACTGACTGTTGCACTAGTCATGAACTCATGACCATCAATTATGCCTGTTATCAAATCGCGAGCGCAGTTTAAATAAAACTTTAATGCTCATTTCTTGTTAGGTTCATTTCTGAAAAATATCGAAAACCACGCGAGGTGTCATTATATTTACCGCACGAAATTTACCAACTTGAAAGAACGCCATCAGATAAAATGGCGGCGTGGAAGTCACGCGTTTTGCCGTAATTTGAGTGACCGCACTCAAAGTGTTATTGGTTTTGACTTTTCATATTAATTTAGGGGTATAAATCATTTTAAAAATGGGAAAAACAATGTGCACGACATGCATGTTTCCAGCTAGAATTTACTGCATTGCAACACAGCAATTTTTACGTGAAATTGCATGAAAAGTGTTTATTTTACGTCATTCACAAACATTTTCAAACCACAATTGAAAAAGTGGTTGCCTATGTAAATATATTTTGGTAAGCTATTCAAAAAGTGTAAATTAACCTCTATTTTAGTCTAGAGAACACGTTTAAACGAAATTTATTCATTGTTAAAGTGTTTTCGGCTGTTTTAGAGCTTATTTATCATTAATAAGTTAATGGTGACCTTGTTTCACTAAATAAATTCGTTTTCGCGAAAGGAAAACAAAAACACGCTCGTGAAGTGTGATTATAAATAGTTGAAACGGTTCTTTTTATACCAGATTATAAATTATTCATAGAACAATTTGTTTCGGAGGTTAAATTCAATTGTTTTCAAATTTATTTATATAAACTTGATAATATTCAAACGATTTACATTCAATCATACTTAATGATTGCGACATTTCAGTAAAAAAAAAGGGGACATAATATGCTTCACCGCATGTAAAATTGAAAGTGGAATCGATCAATTGCCTCGCCTTCTAACACTGAACAAATGCTTTTATTTGTATTTTAGTTATATGTCTATCGATGCATGCTTCTGTATTCTTTGCTCCTTGACAATGTATGATATGCACTGCAATAAACTGCATGTCAGGTCAAGTTCAACGGAATTCTAACCTACAATACACGCTATCTCCTGGTAAACACGAATTAAACATGAAAAAAGATAAAATTATTTTATCTGATTAACATTACTCATAAAACGACAGAGTGGCTATAAAAAACAGTACTAAAAATTAAAATGGCGTGTGCGGGCGACGCCATCTTTAATTTAAACATCTACACAATAAAATTGTAGTTTATAATTCGATAAAGTTCAGGCTACTCGCGCGTAAATGTCATGTTTGTTTATTTTTCTTTTTTATTACATTCAATAACGTTTTTCAACTCTCGATTGCAAACAAAGCGAAATAAATTAATAAAATTAATTGCTGTTTGCTTTCATTAGCGTTTTTTGGTGTCTAGTTACCCAGTTGATTAGAAAAACTAGGTGCGGCTCAATTTACACGCGACTAGGTAAATAAACAGTAATCTAACCTCAAATGACTCATGTCAAACAACAGGATAACCTAAAATACACAAAGGCTATTTAGATCATCTAGATATCTTGTCAGGAACTCCCAAAAGACATTTTTATTATTTGAATATTATATAATGGTAAAATGGTACACGCAATGGTAAACGCTGCGCAATTTGCTTATTTTCCTCATGCGTCGTTAATAATATCCCAAAGCGAGGCGGAGAAAACCTTTAACCACTTCGAATGCGTGCAATTTTGTGTCGCGCCGTAATGCAGAGTATTTATGTTAATGCATGCTTTGTTTTAAAGGCTTTGCGAGACTTTGCTAGATCTCAGAGGGTGATTGTAGCGAAAAACTGAATGCAATGCACGAAAACACACCGGGGAACTAGGGTATTATAAAGTTACACGTATAGCTTGTGGGTTGTGACGGTTTTTTAAATGTTTCAATGTAGAGTAATAGGCAATTTAATGGCGGAGAAAAGTGGAGCGGAATTTACACGTTTTCTTACACCCATTGTGTTTGTATATGTATGATAATGAAAGAAAATAACCGTGGAAATATCAGGGGGTGTGTTTTGGGCTTGAATACTTAATTAGTTCATTGTTTATTTATTGAGAATCAATGTATTTTTAAAAATGTTGGCAAACATTATTAATTTTTCGGTTTTTAGAGTTTTTAATGATTTTGAGGGCATTTTTAAACATTTATTTCTGTTTTACATGCGTATAAGTTAATGATTTTCTAAAATGGTTCTTTTTGGTGTTTCTTGTGTGCAAAATGAATTATTAATTACGTTTATTCACCTTTGAAGGTATTTTTAAGTGAGTGTTTTAAGTGTTTTAAGATTACATATTTAATTATTTATTGGATTAGAATCAATACAATTTTAAAAATATATAAAAAAATTATAATTTTTTTTTTTTGAATTTAGGGCTTTTAACTGATTATTGTCGTTTTTTGAGCAATTTTAGACATTTATTTTCGTTTTGCTGGAATATAGGCTAATGATTTCCTAAAAATTTGTTTTTCTTGTTTTTGAGTGTGATTTATTCACAAAATGAGTTATTAATTACGTTTATTAACTTCTGAAGTCATTTTAAAGTGAGCGTGACTTTTAATAGCTTTCAAAAATCATACGCTACGCTTCAAAACTTGAGTGAACTTCCAAATCGTCTGTGAGTGATACTATCAATGTGCAATTGTTTTTCTTTATAGGATAACCGACAACATCCTGGCGATGGCTCGGCCAAGCACCGTCCTGATTATACAAAAGAACATCATCGAACAATTTCACAGGTGAAACAAAATACTTTCCACCCTCAAAAACATAAACATCATTCATTTTTATAAAGATTACTTTTAGTATTTTTATATTTTTCATTTAAAAACTGCGTAATTGAATACTCAGCCATTTTGAAAACTTAAATGCTCATGTTTAACTGTTTCGTGCTGTTCCATGTGCCATTTCCTTGCTGCGTGCCGATAAAACCCTCGATAACGATATTAAAACTACAACTACAGCCTCGGAATAAAATCCATAATTAATCTGCAATGCCCAAAGGAGCACGCCAGCTGCGGTCAACCCTTGGAAGACACAGGTTTCTCATATGATCCCAATATATTTATGGAAAATAATAGTAAGTACTGTAGAAAAAAACAAACGTAGAACATCATAAAAAAGTAATCATGATGCGTTGGTTCATAATGCTTAATGGGCAGAAAACTTTTGCTTAACTGAATGAAAGCGTAAAGAAAATGTAATCAGGAATTATTTTTATTCCGTTATATATAAAAATAGTTTATTTATTTGTATATTAACCTTCAATGCATGCTAAATGTATATTTAGTTGCATATCTCATAATTTTTAGATTAAATTTGAAGATTATTAATATTTAAAATTTTTTTCTTTTACATAATCAATTTTCTTGTTGATGATATTTCGGAAAGTGATTGATAGTTTGTACAACTACTGTAGTATACTACAAGAAAACTTTATTGACGACCAAACTGACATGGATTATTGGAATGATTATGAAACACGCGCGCCGTCAGAAAACCAACTCGTGGCGGATAATAATCGCGTGGCAATCAAATTTCCAGCTTAAAAAAATACTCTAAACCGTCGCATGCACAAACGCCGTGCATTATTCAAGACGCCGAGCGGAAAATTGCGTGATTGATTGATACAAGTATTAAGTATTGAGTTCTTGACATTAGCATAATAGACTTCATTGACAGCGCATAAATTAAAAGATATAAAAGTTATAGTGATGCCATCTATTAAAATATAGCTATTAAATTATAACCTAAAAGAAGAAATATAGTAATTGCATCTAGGTGTCAATGAATCGATGTAATTTTAATCAATCTATGTAAACATTATTAATTTTATGCTTTTTCACTGATTATTAACTTTTCTGGGTACAATTTTTGACATGTATTTCCGTTTTGCAAGCATATAGGTTAATGATTTCCTAAAAAGCCGTTTTTTAGTGTTTTTGATTGAAAAATGATTTATTAATTACGTTTATTCATTTTTAGAAGCTTTTTTAATTCTAAATTACAACTTACAACAAAAAATATAATAAGCAATTGCAGGATACATCAAATATAATATCCACGCTTATTATAAATCGATATTTACATACGTCAATGCTCAGGATTAAAATGAGCTTTTAAAATAATTAATATAAATCAATATACTGCACCCAACACGCTATTTATTATCCATCGAAATATGTCTCCCGATAATTATTGTGTTCTTTTACATGTTCTACCTATTTTCATTGTGCAAAACAATCAATAATTGATTGTTTACTGCTTTACTGGTGTCTCAAGGATGATTTTAATAACACATGCACTAATCAATTTATCTCCACAGTATATTATTACAACTTCACATGGAAGGACTACGGCGATGCGTCATTAGTGGGCTTGCTTAATATGGTGAAAGTGGTGGCGTTCGCCGCCACCGAGGGACGCGTCGCCATTCACTGTCATGCCGGTAAAAATACACAAAAACAAGATATAAATATATTACACTCATAAACAACAAAAAACACAAATCAAAACAAATAAATCAATATATGTCTTATTGTTATTTTTAGGACTTGGAAGGACTGGTGTGTTGATTGCCTGTTACTTGATTTATTCCTTGCGGGTGCCTGCGAACGCCGCCATTAAATATGTCCGCTTGAAACGTCCTGGATCAGTGCAGACACGCGGGCAGATAATGTGCGTACGACAATTCGCAAACCACGTGCTTCCAAATCTAGTCACGTTTTATATCAAGTAAGTGATCATTTGGTTGCCTATGTTATAAAAATACAACAAAATATATCATAACGCTTTTTTACACTTTTTAATACTATATATACCTATACAATACAACGGGTGCACTAAATAAGTTTCTTCGACTTCAAGTTGAAAAACCGATAGCGATTGATTAAATTGACTTGTTAGCTCAACGCGTTCATGAATTTTTCATGCCATCGCAACCCTGCGTCACTATTTGATTATAAAGTACAATCGACCACTATATTACTACTACTTGCAGATAAAATAATATAAATAACACATATTAATTAAAAATTTCAGAGAGCAAAGTACGAAAGATAAACATATGCACGAGTTTACCCTCCAGAGATTTATCAAACGACAGAAAATAGCTCTGCATGGTTACGAAGAGAGGAATTATAAATATCTACCGAAGATTGTGCATAGGCTTTGTGAGAGAATCCTGAAACTCACTGGGTGTAACATTGAAGATCTACCACAGTCAAATATTCCATACACGACGGATTTTCTTTGCACGAAAATGGGTCCTGGTGTCACGCGACATGAGAGTATTTACAGTTTTAACAGTCACTTGGAAGATTGTAAGTTATATCAACAATACTTTTGGTGTATTTATTAATATTTATGTATTTTTAGTACATTTTTTAAGCCCCACATCGATCCATTCACCCTCATCGAGTAATTCAGACATAATGAGTTTGAGTTCAGCCCCGCCAAGTCCCAACCCCGAATCGGAGTCTTCAGATGTCCTGGATTCATTTTCAGGTTAACTTTTAATACATAACCTTATATAAACACTACATTTTATATTGTTGTACAATTTAGTTAAATCTAATTAATTTTAGTTGATTTCCTTTTAGAATTAGACGATGAATCAACGCAAGATTTAATAGAGAACAAGTGTTTCCATGCGTTGGAACTGCACAAAACTTTTGAAGATGAAAAAGCGTCGCATCAAACAACTCACATTGTTTATGATATTGGAGAAGTTGTTGATACTCTTATTATTGCTGATATGCATTTGTTGCCTTATGAAAGGAAGAAAAAAGTTCGACAACTTGAAGAGCAAATCAACGGGTCAAAAATTGGATGGTTGAAGTTGGAGAGTCTGCATGACGTTGGTATATTGGCGGCCATGTTGTTTGATTGGTTGGAAAGTTTAAAGAAACCCGTGCTTGATCGGGAAAACTTAGAAAAAATTGTCATCCATTATAAACAACCGGAAATTTGTTTAACTAAAATTGAAGAGGTGATATTGTATTATATTATTTAATGAATTTTAATGTAATTTGTTAATTTTTATAGAGTGCGTCGTTTCTTTTAGAATATTTGCTTCTATTTGTTAGTAAACTGCAGATATCCAATGAAAGTCTTAATGAGGCATTATTAAAACGTCTTCTTGCTGCACTAACACAACAATATGTGGTAATAAGAGATATAGGTATACCTTCAGGTACTGTTAATAATACAACTGCAATATAATTGTTATTTTATTGATGTTTGAATGTTTAGGTCGTGGTTTTAAGAAACTACGAGATGGAACAATGCATTGCACACTAGAATTTATGAATTGTCTACAAACCAGCATCGATTTGCATCACAGACAGTTAAAATCATCCCCTAGATTCGAATTCGGTGGGAGTTACAATGACGATGATGATTCCGACGTGGAAAATGGCTTCCATGATTAAAAATGAACGAATGCATGAAATTTAATGTGAAATTCTGTATCGATGTTGTTGTCGATTGTCTCTTGTCAAATTGTGAAGACTGTTGTGTACATGTCGACGATGTGAATGTGGTGTACTAACAATTCCATTTGGGTTAAGACTTAAGACGATTCAGAAATAGTGAGAAAAGGAAGGAAGATTCGAAATACTTTTGTTGTAAATGAAATATTTAGAGAACATTGTTTACTTTTCGACATCGTGAACACTCTGTAAGATATTTTAAAAACAGCTTTGCTTATAACAACACAACTTTTAATTCAATATGTGATGTATGATGTTGTATAACACAAAACTGTTCATTACAAAGTTAAACAATTGGTGATTTTTTATTACTGAAGTGGAAAGGAAGACTTGCAAAGGGAGTGGACAATCCAGTTCACTGGACAACTCAGGCCCGACAAATGTGTAGAAACCTGCGAGCAACTGATTTATACCTGCGTAGTACCCGCGAAAAGTGGGCGGGGGGAAGTGGTTGATCAAGTGTAAACACATGAGCAGTGTTACCCCTATCACTTTTTAGAAGTACTTAACTGATATAGATCAGCAACGCGTACCAAAATCGTCCAGCAGTCCAGCTGGAACTCTTTTGTCTTCTCATCGCCCTCCCCGAGTAGTTTTGGTAAGTCTCCTGCGTCAGTAACGGTTGTAAATTTTTCATTCAACGTTTAATTCTAATATTGTTGTTGATTACAAAGAATATAAACATAAATAAGATTCAACCTGAATTACATCTACATTATTGTAGGTTTTCCTTATCTTAGTCAATGTATAAGTACAAGTAAACATTAAATAGCAATAACATGAGTATAATCGTTAGGTGTAAGTCGTGTAAGATATTCGAATCGTGTACATATTACTAACTTAACTACTTCTCATACTTGTAGACGATAAACAAGTGCCGTTTTATTATTAGGACGATACGAAACCGAAGCAAAGGCCCGCCACGAAAGACGCGTAGAAAATGTGCGATTCTTTCACTCGAAAACTGTTGTCGCCATCAATGTTGATGTCGTACCAGTTCTTCGCCTTCTTCTGCTTCTTGCGCACGATGTTTTCCGCCTGGTCCACTTTCCTATCAACAAAACGTTCCACCTGCAAACAAACACCTAACTGTTTTAACATTCTAACGGCTTGCCTTTGGAAAATTCTCATTTTATTGTGTTTTGTATTTCTAAGGTAACAACGGGATATTGATGCGCTTCTCCTTCCTCGGCAAGTTTGCAACTTCTAATCACTATACACAACCAAATGCAAGAAAAACTCCACCAACAAATCCAGTTGTGAAAGACATATGAGTTTTAGCAAAGGCAGTGATCTGAAAAGCATGTGGAAAGAAATTGGTTTATATACACAAAAGCTCTGGTGAAATAACAGTGTAAGTATGGTTTATATCAAATACTTAGACTGCATTTAACCAAGTATTATTATGAAAATAATTGTATACCTTATCTGACCATGAAGGACCTTCTCCGGTTATCTTCTCTTCGACTTTATCGGCGACTTTATCCAGGTTCTTATTGACTTTGTTCCAGTTGATCTTTACATAGCCATTCTCATTGGCTACTTGTAAGAGGATGATGCCTCCGCCGATGGCAACCGCCACGACTTTGCCCACTTTCATAAAGACATAGCCGGTGAGCCATCCGGAAGACGTTCCGATGATTAGTTGTTTCGTAGCGGAAGACTTGCTGATGTCGCCGAGGAGTTTGTCGATGATGGACTTATCTTCTCCAGGTCGGGCGTCCATGATTTGTCTAACTTTGTTGCTCTTGTCCTTGGCGAACTTCTTTATTATGGGCATGAGTTTGCAACTGCGAGCGCGTTATGTGCGAATTGACTTAAAATAGACGCTTTGTAAGCGCTATTTTCGTATCTTATTTGTTTATTAATTGCGTATCGTCGCGCAATCACATGAATACTCGCATCAGCTGGTAGGGCAAATGTGATTTAGGGTTGTCTAATATTCAGGCGTGTCGCGCATACAGGATCTTTCAATATCTCATAAAAAATCGCAATTTTAACAAATTAAACATAGAATTTAACAGGTATTTTATAATATTAGATTATTATCACTAAAAATAGTATATATTAGTTTAAAGTAATTTATAATTTAAGTATTACGCGTTGTATCAATTTGATACTATAGTTTATGTCATACTGTATTTCTAAACTGTAAAGTAGGCAACTTAAACAACACATCGGCTTTATATTCAACACGTGCAAACAAGATGCTTTTGCAAACAAAATTTTAGCAACTGCAAATAACACTCAAAAGTATTTACAAAACCGCCCTAGTAACAATTCTAAAGTACTCGTGCGATATAATTTATTACGATGGCGGAGAAGCAGCCGAAAAGCGATCTCACCTCAAAACAAACAACCTCAAGACTGACTTCTTTGGGTAAACCAAGAGATTTGCACCTCTCTGGAATTGGTTCATCAAAACCCAGAAAAGTATTCACGCCTAATTTACACGCAGTGCGAAACAAAGGCAAAGCTGTACCGTATGTATACACATTTTTGGGCATTTTCTATATATAAAAATCAAATTTTTATTTGTTTAGAAATGTAGCTTCAGATGGCTCTAGAAAAAACAACAAAAGACAACCAAAAGACTTCAAAAAACGCGAATCTGATTCATCACGCTTCGTCCAATCTACAGGTATCTTTTCAGAAGGTACCAGTGAAACAAAAGGGAATCATCTCATGCTTCTAGAGGGTCTGATGCAAGAGATGGTGGAGGTGAAGCTGCAGCAGGCATGGAAAAGCCTAAAATTGACACTGGAGCTGCATGGAATGTAAGTAACTGCATCATGTTATAAGAAATGTAACACAATAAACCATATTTCCAGATTGATTTGGATGAGGAAGCCAAAATAATCACAGATCTTCTTGAGATTGAAGGTACAATTGATGAAGAAGTTGATCATGATGATTATCAACCTATAGTATTACCACTGAACAAAAATAAACAAAACTTCTTCAAAACGTTTGCGCCCCAGCCGCAAATAGGCACAGAAACAAAAATCAAAGTGGAATCAACAGAAGAAAACATGAATGTTGATAATATCTCGGAAGATTTGAGTCAATGTTCGTTTTACACGCCAAAATTATTCAGTGATTCGAATGTAACATACTCAATAGTGAAATTACCGGACGCAATGCCCGGACGAGGCTTCGACGATGATGGTAAAGTTATCGATTACACGCTGGATCAAATGTTGGAAGGGAAAATCGGTAAAATTGTCAAACGTCGCTCTGGAAAGATGCAAATCATCATTGGTGACATGACATATGATTTTGATTCAGCAGAAGCAGCACCATTCCAAGAAGTATTAAAAAAACATCCAAATCAAACTTGCTATTAATTTTCATTGTGTGTTTTTGTGTATTTAGGAGTTAATGGTGATGCCAGAACCAGATACGCCTGAACACAGTGCCTCCATGATAAACCTAGGTGCAATTAAGGAAAGATTCATGATTTCACCGTCTTGGCAGAATCTACTCTCGGAGAAACCGGATACGTAAAAGGTTAGAGCTTGTTGTTTTCTTTTGATCTTTGGATCAATATATTGACTGTTACTTATAAATGATATTTTCTAATAAATTTGTTCAAATTTCACTTTATTAGTTAGTTTTAGCATAGTAACCCGCTTATAGATAATATGGCTTATTCAAACGTTTAAAGTTCCTGAGCAAACATGTTTTTACAACAATTGTTTACAAACCAATGTAAATTTATAAACAATTGTTCGGAAAGAGTTCAATTTTCAATTGTTTCTCGCGTTACATGGCCATTCTTATTCTTTGTATTGCAAATTCGATGTTTTAGCAATAAAACACAGCGTGTCGGTGATTTCTTCAATCTGGAATGGAATATTAGTTAATATTTACGTAAATTAATTATAAAATGGATGTGTTTTTACCAATTTGGCTGTTGGTTTACCAGCGCCGTGTCCAGCTTTCGTTTCGACGCGCACCATCAACGGTTTCGTTTGTTTCGGGCTTTTCCCGACTGTGTGCTGTAATTCAGCGATGAATTTCATAGAATGCAGAGGTACGACGCGATCATCATGATCGGCAGTGAGTAGTAATGTAGATGGATATTGTGTGTCGCCTTCTGGTACACGAATGTTGTGCAGCGGTGAATATTTATACAAATAATCAAAGCCTTCTTTTGTTTCTGATGAACCATAGTCGGATTTCCAAGCATAGCCGATCGTAAACTTGTGGAAACGCAACATATCCAATACACTAAACATAAAAATTCGATTGGTTATAATGAATTGGTAAATAATAGTTTATTTCGTACCCAACTTGGCAGATAGCAGTCGAGAATAAATTTGGTGCTTGATTAATACAGGCGGCTACTAGTAAACCGCCATTAGAACCGCCCAGGATCGCCAGCTTATCAGAATTCGTGTATTTTTGTTCGACCAGATACTGTGCAGCCACTTGGAAGTCGTCGAAACAGTTCTGTTTGTTTGCAAAACGACCACCATTGTGCCATTTATCACCATACTCTCTAAACAGAAGCAAAGAACATTATTTTAATTACATTTATGAGCTAGACAATGAGATTTGTTATTACCCGCCGCCACGAATATTAGCTACAACAAAGCAGCCATCAAAATGATTGACGAAAATCAATCTCGAAACCGAAAATGATGGGGTGATATTGATATTGAAGCCGCCATAACCGTACAACATGCACGGTCGCGATCCATCCCGGACAAAATCCTTTTTGTGTACGATAAACATCGGTACTTTGCTGCCATCTTTACTTATGTAGAACTCTTGTTTGCTCACGTATTGACTGGGATCCAGATCGCCAACTTTAGTTTGATGAAACACACTCTGTTTGATTTCACCATCTTTTAAAAATTCGACTTTATAAATAGTGTTCGGCGTGAGGAAAGATCCAAAGCCATAAAACATCTCGTCATGATCACGTTTCCCTGATGTTCCATTGATCGTTCCCAGATCGACATCGAAATCCATGATTTTCTCGCCGGATTCCAATTTATGCAGGGACAATGTATGCTATAATCGAGAGATATCGAGAATAATGTGAATTGTTATCAGATTAAACTTACTTTCACATCGCGAAGATAACACAGGACAAGTTTATCATTATTGATTGGTTTACCCCAGTCAAGAACATCCTTGGGATCTTCAGGGATTAAATTCTGCCAGTTTTCTTTGGCTGGTTTATTGAAGTCGATGACAATGATACGATTATTCTGCGCATCTTTGTTGGTGTGGAAATAGAACTTCGTATCGTTATTCGTGATGTACTGAAACAAAAAATTTAAAAACAAAATTTCAACAGAAAATAATGACTCACTTCATAATCAGCTTCCAATTCAGTGACAACTGGAGTAAGTTGGAGTTTTCCAGTGATACCGCCGTCTAACTTGGCGAAATAAACCAAATTATTCTTGCAGCCTTTGATTGCAGTCACTACCAAGTAATTTCCACAATAACTGACACACGAATTGCTAAAATTTACATCAACACATGAATATTATCACTATTACTATGTTACTTAAAGTGAAATCTTACATTCTAAGTTGAGGATCTTCAAATTCCACAACCATTACATCTTCTGATTGGTCTGTACCCAACTTGTGATAATACAACTTATGAAACTCATTGGAATCAGTCTCAGAACCATCAGCTTTGCCTTCTTTGTTAATGTAAGCTCCATAGAAGAAGCCCACATTGTCATGCATCCAAGCCATGGAACTGAACTTGACTTTCTTCAAAACCTCCTTGTAATCTTCACCTAAATCATATATTATTAGTTATGTTGTGAAATTTATGATAATTTTGTGTTGTTACCTGTATCAACATTACGAAATTTGATCTCTAGCCAATCAGAGCCACTAGCACTCAAGCCATAGGCAAAAACTTTGCCATTCTTGGAGAATTTTGTCCCGGAAAGTGCAATGGTTCCATCAGATGACAACAGATTAGGATCCAAGAAGACTTTGGCTTCTGGATTATCCACATTCCATTGATAGATAACACTCTGATTCTGCAGGCCAGTATTTCTGTACTGATAATACTGATCCCCCTCTCTATATGGAGCTGAACACTTGGGATAATTCCAGAGTTTGGTCACCTGCTTCTGGATATTCTCCTTGAACTCATATTCATTGATGAATGGCTGTGTTATCTTATTCTGGGCATTGACAAACTGCTTAGTCTCTTCTGAATCTGGATCTTCCATCCACCTATAAGGATCAGCAACCTGTATTGGAGGTATATAAATTAATAATGATTAATTAATCATGTTTAATGTAAAAAATTACCTTAACACCATGATAATCTTCCACTAGATCTTCGCGTCGGGCCTCCGGATAATTGAACACCATTTTGGTCGTCTGCTCGCTGGTTTTACGCCGCGTGTTGGAATATTTCAGGTGCGTACTTTTTCTACTTGAATGCACGATAAGTAGTAGAAATGTGTGGACGAGAATTATTCGTAAGGGCGAAAGATGCAAGAAAATAAATTCATACGAGATTAAAGGTTAGAATGATTTGCCGATTATGAATGCATAAAGCAATGGCACACGCACACACATGTAAAGTTTGCGACATTGCGATTCTTACCTAGCTCGGGAGAGACTACGCAAAACGCCGAAATTTTTTAATGCAATAAACATCAGTAAGATAAGGCGAACGCGTCGATCGTGCGGAGTGGATTTTAGCGCTTGACGCAACTCCACAGATTATCCGTGCTCGCGGTTACAGGCGCGCAAAATGTTTGTTTAAATTGCAAATTCTATACGCGTAGAGACATGCCTACTTAGATAGTAATGAAATATAATTATATCGCTACCTGAAAAACGTTTATTGTCAAACCTTTTGCGAGGGATTTGGTAAAGTTTTCGGTTATTTCAACAGTTTTTTACATGTAATTTAGAAGTCTTTACGAAGTATTTATGTTTTTATGTATGATAAGATAATTGTGTATTTATAATGTTACATAATTCAACCAAATTGTTTATAATAATAAGTGTTTTTAAGTACGTTAACATCCCCCGAATGTACCGAAAGTAAAATATGTATACCAGCCCCCTCTAGAACAATCTACTTTTTCTCCATGTACTTCCAGTCAGACGCCATTGCATCATCACTTACTTTACTTTCGATATTGCAAGTTCAACGTCAGAGCAATAAAACTAAGAATATTGGTAAGTTCTTCAATCTAGAACAAAATATGTGATAGATATTTCGCTAGTTGCACGATCAAATTAAACAATGTACCATTTTATTTGTAGGTTTTCCACTTCCATGCCCAGTATTTGTTTCTACGCACGCCAATAATGGATTCGTTTGTTTCGGACTTTTCCCCACTGTGTGCTGTAATTCAGCGATAAATTTCAACGTATGCAATGGTACGACTCGATCGTCATGGTCTGCAGTAAGCATCAACGTAGCAGGATATTGTGTGTCGCCTTCAGGCACACGGATGTTATGCAATGGTGAATATTTGTACAAATATTCAAACCCATCCTTTGTTTCCGATGATCCATACTCCGATTTCCAAGAGTGGCCGATTGTAAACTTGTGGAAACGTAGTAGATCTAGTACACTAAATTCACATTTGGTTAGATTGAGCTAAAAATTGTTGAGGAATTTCCTACCCAACTTCACAGATAGCTGCAGAGTACAAATGTGGTGCTTGATTAATGCAAGCACCAATTAATAAACCGCCATTAGATGCACCCCAAATCCCTAGTTTATCGGTTTTTGTGTACTTTGTATCAACGAGATACTTTGCCGCTGCCTGGAAATCATCAAAACAATTCTGTTTGTTTGCAAAGCGTCCACCATCGTGCCATTTTTCACCGTATTCCCTAAATACCGAAAATAGTAATTTAAAAAAAAAAGTGAATTTTGTATTCCTAATTAATGCACTATTGATGCTAGATTATGCTAGACTATATCTACAAATACTTTTCTATGTTAGTACATTATTTAAATGTTCAGTGCAACATTTTTACCTTGGGTGTGGTTGTAAGCAAACTTTGAAAATAGTGCAAAAGTATTACTTAATCCATTCATTTGAGATTTGTTCTGTAAATGCGTCTGTCGATTCCCTTATTTAACAACGCACTGTAAATGATACGCAATATATCTAAGTCTTACCCGCCGCCTCGAATATTTGCAACAGCATAGCATCCATCGAAATGATTAGCGAAAAGCAGACTTGTATCGCAAAACCAAGGTGTCATCTTGATACCAAATCCGCCATAACCGTACAATAGACATGGTCGCGACCCGTCCATGACGAAATCCTTCTTGTGTACGATGAATATCGGAACTTTGCTGCCATCTTTACTGGTATAGAACTCTTGTTTGGTCACATATTGACTGGGATCTAGATCGCCAACATTGGTTTCGTAAAAACGCTCTGCTTGACTTTCACCACCATTTGTAAATTCTACTTTATAAATATCGTTTGGGGTAAGGAAAGACATAAAAGTGAAGAACATCTCGTTGTGATCACGCATTCCCGAGAATTCGCTGATCGTTCCCAAACCGACATTAAAATCCATGATTTTCATACCGTCTTCCAATTTATGCAGGGATAATGCATGCTAATATTGAAAAAAATCATTAATTATAAGTTTCATTATCAAATTAAACGTACTTTAACATCGCGAAGATAACAGATGGCAAGTTTATCATTATTGATTGGTTTAGCCCAGACCAGAACATCATTGGGATCTTCAGAAATTAATGTCTGCCAGTTTTCTTTACTTGGTTGCTCGAAGTCGATAACAACCACACGATTATTCGGCGCATCTTTGTTGGTGTGGAAGAAAAATTTAGAACCGTTATTTGTAATATACTAAAAATAATAATTTGAATTATATTGAATGTTTCAGGTAAAAAAAAGTGAACCCACTTCATAATCAGCTTCCAATTCAGTGACAACTGGAATAAGATTGAATTTTTCAGTAATATTGCCATCCAACTTTGCCAAATATACTAAATTATTATTGCATCCTTTAATGGCAGTAATCACCAGGTAATTTCCGCAGTAACTCACACATGAATTGCTAAAATATAATTTGTAAAGATAAAAATCGCACAAGTTTATGAGGAAATTACATTCTAAGTTCAGGATCATCAAATTCAACAACCATAACATCTTCTGATTGGTCTGTACCCAACTTGTGATAGTACAATCTTTGAAATTCATGCACATTAGTCTCAGAACCATCAGCTTTCTCATCTTTATCAAGGTAAGCTCCATAGAAGAAACCCACATTATCATGCATCCATGAGAATGTGCTATACTTGACTTTTTTCAAAGTCTCTTTATAATCTTTGCCTGAATATTTAATATTATTATAATATATTTTTTTAATTTTTTAGGAGTTTGGTTACCTGTATCCACACTACGAAATTTGATCTCGGTCCAATCCGAGCCACTAGCACTCAACCCATAAGCAAAAACTTTGCCATTATTTGAAAACTTAGCTGCTGTCAGTGCAATTGTGCCATCATCAGACAACAAATTTGGATCTAAGAAGACTTTGGGTTCTGGATTATCAGCATTCCATTGATACATAATACTCTGATTTTGAAGGCCAGTATTTTTGTATTGATAGTAATAATCTCCTTCTCTATATGGAGCTGAACACTTTGGATAATCCCAGAGTTTAGTCAACTGCTTCTGGATATTCTCCTTGAATTCATACTTATTAATGAATGGCTCTGTTATCTCATTCTGGGCATTGACAAATTGCTTAGTCTCTTCTGAATCTGGATCTTCCAGCCATCTATAGGGCTCTAGAATCTAAATAGCTGAGATTTAAAATCACAATTAAATGTGGTGTTAAGGTAAAAATTACCTGCACTCCATGATAATCTTCCACTAGTTTTTCGCGTCTGGCTTCCGGATATTTAAATACCATCTTTCTAGTTTGCTCGGTCATTTTGGACCGCAGAAAAATAGTGTTTTTAAATGTATGGAGTCGTGAAAGATTGCGTAAAACTGCGATATTTCTGAGTGTGATCAACATTATAAGGAAAAACCCTAAACGTAATTACTGATTAAGTAATGTTTGATAAAATTCCTCAACTTTGAAATCACATGAAATCTAATTTCAATAATATAGGCGACAATCTGATGAAACCATACTGGAGCGCACCGGTATCGACAGGTGCTTTTATCATGATTTAATGAGCAGCGAAGCAGCTGGAGATAATTGGGCGAAATTCAGCGTTGGCTGGTAGGGGAACTAGCACCTACTTTACATAGCGATAGGTTGAAGCACAATATCAAATCTAACATGTTTATATTGATAATTGACTTGTTATCGTTTTCTACACTGCGCGCTTATCAGTTTTGTTTATGAATAACGATTTTATGTTTTGGGACATTGGTTTTTGTTATATGTTTCAGGGGTCTAGGCACTGAATGGGACGTTGTAGGAGAACTATGCTTGCAACAATTTGTAAGCATTGACATTCTTTATTATTTCCATGGCTTAGTTTTGTAATTTTATTCGCGGATGCCATAAAATTGTATTTTTTGTGTTTCCAGGCACTAATTTTTGTTTCAGTGCCTAGGATTTAGGGCTCTACCGCAGGCGGCGATTTGATAGGTTAACAACACTAGCATCAGATCGAAAATAATAAAATAAATAAAGTTGGCAAGCAATATAAACGGCATCTTTGTGTTTTAAGGTGGTTTTAAGTCAAATATTTTTTGTGGCATAAACTATAGTAGCAACGTTAAAAAATAGAGAGAAAAAAAGCTACATTACAGTTTTGCGTAGATCTTGCAGTCAGTCTGTTCGAAAATAGGTGGCGCTAGTTTATTTAAAATTTGTTCGCTTGTTATTTCAATAATATATACAAACCATGTACTTCCACACATAGATGACGCTCACGTCGTTATTTTATAGTATATTTTTCTGCGTAGTCCGTTTTATGTCGCGGTATGATGCACGTGTATGTTTGTCTTCCTGTCGGTTAATATTCGTATCCAACATTTACGTTTGTTGAAGAATTGTATATTAAGTATCAAGTGGCTAAACGAAAGTATTTTTCATGAGGTTGAATAAGAGCGAGTGTAGCGAGCATTTAATCAATGGAGTGTTTAACAACGATTAGCCACATGATGCTTACGCAGTTTTTCCTACTGCCACCCTATTTCCACATTGAGCTTTTGTCTTTTAAATCTTTGAAATTCGCTCGCACCCTAGTGGGAAATGAAAAGTTCTAAATGTCGTGCATGCAGCGCATGCTTTTACATGTTTGACTGACGATGCAGAACATTTCATATGGTCTCGTGATGCTCCGTTGGCAAATGCGCAGGCGTAAGCGCTACCCCGTGGCTAAAGCCCCTGACTAAAGTACTTTAGTCACCGCCTTGACTGTCCGTGTGCGCCACTTTTTGAGTCTCAAAACCAATCATTTGTCTTGTTTAATCGGATCTTCCGCACGACGTTTTCAGTTGCTAGGAATTTTCATTCGACAATCGTATTGTGTTCAATTGACCACAACAATTCTTTTATCGCGAGGAAACGCGAATTGCTTGTATTATTCTTGTGCGCGCATCAAATGTGGAAATAACTAATTCAGATGTTTGCGAAATCAAGTGTATTGAAGTGAGCTTCGTGGAAGTGAGCAACGCTAATTGCATTTTCAACCGACAGCTGTGAACATTTACTTTCATGATTGTATTCGTTACATTTAATTCATTTGGTCAGTAAAACACTACTTTATGTTATTTTCTATTCAACATTTTGCAACTTTTCAGGTACAATATATTTGATTTTAAAATAAATCTGTAAAACATAATTTGAATTTATATTCTTGCCCATTTTCAACCTTTTTCAGATTTAACTTTCAGTCATGTATAATCCTTAGGCGTTTCTGAAGATCGGTATGTTTAAGACGCTTCTCTTTTCAAAATAGTCGATAAATACCCAGAAGAAAAACATTTGTCAGTGTACGTATACACTTGGTGGTCTTGTGGTATATGCATGAATTAGCATGCTCCTGCGGCTACGCTATCACTGAGTCTCAGCAAATTGTTATGATTAGAGATCTTCTCCTGAGAGAAAGTGAACTCTATAGAAAAAACGTCTTACTATATAGAAATATTTTTCAAGTCCCTACCTGTATCTGAAATGATAAATGGGGTATATTTAAATAATAAGAGCCACAATGTCCCGTAAACATTTTTTGATAAAACAACTTATGCATATGCAAATACTTACAACAATAATTCAATAGTTAACAGAACACTACAACAAATATAATAAAGAACATGCCCACATTATGAGATACGTTTTGCGAATACTGAAACAAAACAATTATCATGTCCATGTTTAGCCCAGTCATTTGGTAGTTTTGCCTAAAAAATAGTGCGGGATTGTTGAAAATTGGTATTCATATAGATTTCAATGTGCTCTTTACGAATTTAAACTTTGCCACCTTGTATCTTCTTCGCTCGTGCCATCATCTTGGAAAAATGGTGTCTAAGAACAGTTTTTTGACCATATCTCCTTTCCGACTCATTTTACGATAAACATATCTATATAATAAATTAAACTAGAGAAAATTTCCTATACTTTATGTAAGTACCTTTTTCTTGTAAAATTAGTAGTTTTAGCGTAGAGGCGCCGCAAAGTCTACTTCAACATTCGTTTTTGTCAAAAATTCATTTCCACTTCCATTTATCGTGGTATCCCCAGTAGGCCTAATCCACACGCACTATTCCAAAATTTAATGGATTGTCTTCCGATACGCTCTTCGCGTTAGACCAAGTGTTCTGCGTTAATTGTCTTCAGGATCGATCGAAATATCACAGGAAAGAATTTTTTCCATATTATCCGCGATGGGATTATCGTTTTCAATGCAATTTTGGTTCTCGAGTTCATCGTACGTGTGCTCAAAAACGGTAATCGTTTCTTCCTCTTCATCGCTATCTTGTGATGAAACTTACGAATTATCACAGGTACCACTGCAATTTGTACAGATAACGGAGCACTTCAATCCAGCCTTTCTGCAGCCGCAAGCTTTCTGATATCCCTTTTTACATTTGCAAGATATTAGTTTTAACAATGTTTCGGGAGCTGGGGGCTCAAGTGTGGTGACCGGAATTAGCCCATTCTTGCTTTTTTTCCATCCCCATTGTTCTGCATTTAGTTCATTCCCATACCACTGCTGAACTTGGTGATAAGTTCTGAACGAATGTTGTCGGGCTGCGGCTTCTGTTGGTGGTAGCGATGCAATATTAAATTTGTTTTTGTATGCTGATTTTTTGAAGCTGGCATATCTATAGATGTTTAAAGACATAGGTATTTTACATAGCCTTTGGGTTTTTAAATACCTGGATAACTTCGTTTAAATCTGGATTTTTGCGGAGTACATTAATAAATTTTAATTTTCCTCGATGAAAGAGTGCAGATGTTGTATCACAGCCACTAAAAGCGTGTAAGAATAATATGTGATCTGCCGCTGTTTGATCGATGATGCTTTTGGTTGAATAGATCTGTTGCAAAATTTTTCCTTTTTCTGCTTTTAGCAAATATATGTTTGAACACATTGATAGCGCCGTTAAAAGAATAAGAAGATCTACATCTTCGCAGATAACATGCACGAATTTGGCTGCGACCAAATGATACTGTGCATTGGCTGCGACCAAATCATAAACACGCTTGAGACATTCAACAATCGCTCTACCCCAATCATCATTACGTGCTCTAGGACGTTCTGAAATAGTGTTTTTCATCGATAATTTATGTACGCTATATACAATATTTCGATCACTCAAACGTATCCGTTTTTTTCGCTATAAATTCTGCTGTTATTTCAGCAGCGCACAAAAAACAATGATTTTTAAATGAGAATGTTGGGCACGTGGATCGCAGTTGAGGTTGAGAAGTCGTGACAACACTTCCTTTTTTATACGCAATGATTAATTTCTCATTATTATATCGTTTCCGACATATCTCGTGAAAAACTACCGATCTCAATCCCTCTAAAAGTTTACCCTTATTATCCTTTCTTTTAACGCTTGACTTACAAAAGGTCTCCAATCCTTTTTCTTTCACTTCAATCACTTCACTATCTTGCAATGGAGTTTTACAAATAAAACAATTTACGTGATCAGCCATGGCTTCAAAACTGCAAAAAACACGACTATTCAGAACGATAAATATGTAATAATGACTCAATGAAGAAATAATAAAACAAAAGTAAACTCGGCCGGCGAAACTTTCAAACAAGCAAGGAGAAGCAGGAGCACCCTCATATCATAGCAAGCAAAAATAGCAGTCATGATGACCTGGAAATGAGTTTTTGACAAAAACGAATGTTGAAGTAGACTTTGCGGCGCCCGTACGCTAAAACTACTAATTTTACAAGAAAAAGATACTTACATAAATTATAGGAAATTTTCTCTAGTTTAATTTATTATATAGATATGTTTATCGTAAAATGAGTCGGAAAGGAGATATGGTCAAAAAACTGTTCTTAGACACCATTTTTCCAAGATGATGGCGCGAGCGAACAAGATACGAGGTGGCAAAGTGTAAATTCGTAAAGAGCACATCGAAAATATATGAATACCAATTTTCAACAATTCCGCACAATTTTCCAAGCAACCACGTTTTTTAGCACCAAATGACTGTACTATTTCTAGATTTTCATCTGGACCTTGAAGGAAACTAATAGGATGTGACTAAAACAAAATTACAGTAAATTTAAAAAAATACAAAGTTTTAGAAGAAATATCACTAAATATCTTTAACTTTAGAGTGCATTCAGAAAAACTAATATTCAGCGTGTTATAAACAGAAAATATCTACCTACATTAAGAGAGAAAAAAACGCAAGTTTCAAGAAAGATAACACTTAATAACTACTTCTTTAGAGGCAAATTAAACTAGGCAAAGGAAAACTAAAATATCTGAAACAAACTTCCACAAATCAACGAAAAGTAATATATAGGTACAATGCGATAAAATCGAAAAAAATATGCTTCATACGATGCATTCTGGAAATCTATGATTAGTAATAAGAAAAGATATTTAAATATGACATTCAACGATAAAGAAGAAACATGTTCATAATATCAAAAGAGAGGGAAAAGTTGTAATAGCATTATACAAATCAGTGGCTTCCTTATTTGATTCCTTATTTCCAACTCTGAAAATAACGGATAAGATGTCACAGAAAATGGGTAATTTCCATTGCAAAACATAAAAAGAAAACGTATAAAAGATAAAAATTATTTCTGAGATTTCTGACCCAAGTTCCACCACAAAACATCAAAAATTCGAAAAATATTGCAATAGTGCGTAGTTGATTTTAGGGGTATTCTAGAAAGTTAGGAATGTTAAATTATACGTCATTTTAAATAACAATTCTTCTACTTTAAAGAGTTATAGGAAACGTATTAAATATCCTTATAATCTCCAAAATATGACCATAGGAAATAAGCGGAATATTGAGAAAGTTGGCATATTTTTAGGGTACTCTTATAAAGTCTAGAGCGTGGAGTTAAACATCGTCTTATTCATGTCTAAATTTGTATTGCAGAAGGAAAACCTTGTATTTTCAAACGCTCCCGAATTATGAAATAAACAAATTAAGAGTAGGTAAATGCATGCAGCTTGGAAAAATTGCAGCAACGGTGCATCATAGTATGCGTTTGTACGATCGTATCAGTATCAGTATCAGTATCTCGTATCAGGACGTAGTTGAACACAATTTAACAATATCATATTCAAAGACAAACTTATTTCGACTTACTAAAGCAATTAATTCTTTTCGAAACACCACACAAACAATTAAAAAAAAAGTAGATTGTTTTCTGGAGGCACCATGTCTTACCGATTTAAAATGACAACCAATGCAATGAAACGCGTGGACCGATCTACAACGACTACAACGAAGTTGCGGCAAAACTGCTGATGCCTAGAACCGGCAATGATGCGCATTCTATCCGTTGGACCCGCTAAAAAATTTGTTTACATACAAACCTCGATAAACGTGTCTAAACTGGTGAAACATTTACATTTTTTTGTACTTCCACCTTTAAAGCGCTAGTTTTTTCACGGGTTTCAGACACAACAAGTGGTACGGACGGACAGCAAAAGCTGTGACTAAAGTACTTTACAAGTCAAAGTATGCCCTGCTGCTGGTCGTGTCGGTGCGGCGCAACATGGCCCGGCGTGCAGCACGGCATTTAGAACCTTTCATTTCCCTGCAGTGTGTAGGTAAGCCAATTTCGAAGATTTAGAATACAAAAGTTAAAACACAAAATCTTCAATGTGGAAATAAGAGTGGAAGTAGAAAAATCATCGTACGCATCACGTGACTAAACGTTGTTAAACAACGTTTAACTCACGTTTAGCCACTTGATGCTTAATATATTATTACATTTTCATTTTGGGGATTGATATCAGTTTCAAAGTTATCAACAATAACACTATTGTGACCATCAAATTTATTTAGCACTGGTGATCTTACATGGCTAAATTATGAAGAACAATGTCATTACATAGAGATCTATGTTGGCACCCGACCCATATAACCGTCCTCTCCCTCTCTTCATCGTCGTATACAGCAGGCGTGGTAATGAATGCATCGTGTACGAAAGTATGCGCCAGTTCCAAAATGGTAATACACAAAAAGACAACAGTATGCGATATTTCATATATGTATGCCCATCGACCGTAACATGCGCACGATGCGCACTATGCTTAGCACAAGTAAATAGATTTACGCGATTCCTAACGTTAGTCATTAGTGGACCTTCCTATCATACAAGAAATTACTATATACAATGTACAAAAACTATTCCAAATATAAAAAATATTTAGCCTATCGTGTGTGTAGTACGTCTCAGTTCGACTCTTCGGTCGCGCACTCACCGCTCCCACTGCGTCCCCACCGGCAGCACCTCGGCGCGCCACCTTCATCGCCTGCAAGGATTCCACTCCTTATCCGCGGACGAGATGCATTTTTATACATCCATCTATACTCCAATTCCAACCTCCGCTCATCAATGTGTGTATTCAATATCAGTATCGTATATAAATATTAATCGTTAATCTTAAAGGCAAATCGATCACCTGAAATCGTGAATTTATAAAAATATACTTTGTTGCGTGCGCGGCCAACCACTTTCTGCCATCCACTGCCGCTAAGAGTTTGTAGTCGTCAGAAAACGCAAAAACTCAACTCAACCATCGAAATTCAAAACGAAAAGAACAAAATAAAAGAGCAAATTCTGCATGCGTCTGGATTCCCCAGGAAAATAAAATAACCAACTTAAAAACCATTCGTTGTAAACATAACGTTGTAACTAATCGCGAGCACGTGGCGCAAAGTTGAAAAGTTCAAAATTTATCGAGGAGATTGAGTGTATCTCGTAGGTGCGTAAAATGAAGTTGCCTAGAACCTTCCGCCGAGAATTCAATCCTTGTGACCCGGATGCTGCCGCTCCTTGCAGTCCGGATTGTTGACTCCATTGTTCGCACGTGGCACGATCAGAATTGATCCGTCCGCGGACGTTTGCAGACTGTATTGGTACGGGGAATAATGATTGCCATCAGGATCTCTCAAATTCTAAACAAACAAAAATAGATTTTTTTTTAATATTTTTCCAAGCATTTTTAACTATTTACTAACCTGGAAAACATGTCGATACAGTTGTTGATATTTATCTTTAATCCTCTGTGATTCCCCTGTCAAAAAATCGTGATCCGTGACAAGTCTGTACTTCCTATCGCGCATATCCTTGACCTCATCGGCAAGAGTCAAAATTTGATCAAGTTTCCTCTTCCTGCAGTTCTGTGCCGCCACCTTGTTCTTGCCGCGTCGGCGGATGTCCCGAATGAGACTAAGCTGTGCTTCGCTGAGGTCGTATTTGGAGAGACGTTCGTTAAACTCGTCCATGGGAAGATTGATAATATCATCGACTGTAATAGGTACGTTGAGGGCACGCGCGCGTTTTTGATCACGCGACAAATGCTCCTCTTCGGCGCGTCGCGCTTTTGCCTTATCCCGACTCACCGGACGCTGCATTGCACCCGTATTCTCCGCGGGAAGGTGATACGTGTGGTTGTGCTGCACGTGTTCAAGGTGATTGCGCGGTAGATAGTGCTGGCGACTAAACTCCAGCGAACAGGAGTATTTGGCATCGCCCGCTTTAGCAGACGTGTCAGCAATGGGCGTCGGCGGTGTGTAAACAGAAGTAGCATTACCACACTCAACATACTCGTACTTGATCGGTACAGGGGGATGAGGAAGGACTGAACTTGCAGTACCTTGATGATCCTTTAAAATTTTTTATTGTAAGCTACCGACTATTCTATATTTATTTTTTTTAAATGACATACCTGGAAACAGCGTTTTCCAAACATTTGATGTTTTTTCTGCGCTACAGGTGGCAAACGACTGGCCTCAGCCGGACTGGAAGCTGCAGAAGCACCAGAAGCCAAAGAATGCTGCCTTCCGGAGTAGCTGTAGTCATATGGCCTGTATTTACTGTTGCCACGCCAAATAAACAATTTAATAAATCGATAAATCCATTGCGAAATAAAACACAAAACTTACGAATGATAATCAGACCGATAGTCGGAATAATGATCGCCTGCGGTATGTCCAGAATCAGAACCACCATCACACCACTCCCCATCACTAAGAGACGGCACCCTTTCAGAACCCATGGAGCTAACAGCACTGTCACTGGAAGTATCCATTCGTTCAGAGTCCATCCTGCTCATATGCGTGGTCCCACCAGGAACAGATGTAGCCCCAGGTGCGTTCACATTATTGCCAGCTGCAGCAGTACCACCCCCAACACTTCCTGGTGCCCCCATGGAAAGATTGCCAGCAGTACCATTCGCTCCATCCAACATCCTCATAGTATACATGCCCTCGTTCAAAGCCATATCCATCAATAGATCTTCGTCGTTAAGAAACGATGCAATGAACCCATCAGTTTGGTTAAACTCTCCGGAACTGTTATAGTACATGTCATGCGCGGTGGGTTCAACTTTATAAATTGACCCAGCGACAGTATCAGCCATCGGTTCACTACTATTAGTAAGATTCATGGACGTAGCGACTGCATTACCCATATTAGTTCCGCCGATGGTAGAATAAGGTGCAGATGCGGAGGTTGCGTTAAGATCACCCATCGGAGGGTTAAGAGTGGCATTATGCAACAAGACACTACGGTCAGTACCATATGCGCCCATACCATGATGGTGTCCATGTGGATGACTGAAGTTATGGAGGTGGTGGTGGTGATGATGATGAGAGAAAGGATGGTGTTGGTGCATCGAACCGCTCTCGGCGGGGTTGGGCAGGCTGAGCATGTTGGCCAGGTCTTGCCATCGCTGCTCCACGCTCATCGTGCGCACGAAGGGCATGCGACCCTGAAATAAAAACATCACATTTCAACTCAACTCTTTTTCTATTAGAGTCACTTCACGCGCCTTGAGAAAACCGAAAGTCTAATAAAAATAATCAAAACGTGTGTTTATTTTAACTTTCTGGTGAGTATTGTGCACATTGTTCGCGTGTCGCGCACCTGTCGGATGCTCGACGTCTTCTTTTCTAGCGCAAAGCGTAACGGTTAAGTTATATCACTTTATGTTATTAAATGTCTACGAGTCTACAAGAAGGAACTTGAAACACTTTTTAAAAACTGTTTACACAGTAAACTAAAACTAGAATTTTTTTTCATAATTCAACAAAGTTAAAAGTTAAAAAATAAATTTCATAAAATTTGATGGTGTTTTCTTTTTGTTGTGAGGCAGACAAAAGCACCACACCACAAATTACGAAGGGCACGACTGGGACTCTCACTTCACTCCAGCAGTCTGAAGAATAAGAAGAAGCACCACTCAACGCGCATCATCTGTCATCGCTGGACGGACGTAAAGTGTTCCAAGAGCGACCGCCTTCAAAAGAACCCAACTCGACATGCAAGACGATGTCGAATGGGTGTCGATGGTGATGCCGATTGTGCGGCCCTTGTCGAAATCAAAATCAAAACCTTTGCGCGCTCCCCGAAAAGCTTTCAATCACAATCACACGCGCATACAAACACAATGAAAGTAGAAAATTTATCTGCCCATCAAAAACGCGCAGAAAAACATGAAAATATAATCGAAAATTAATTGATATTTCAAAATGTCTATGTGGTAGAGATGTTGTCCGACGCGTGCACCACACACGTACGCGTGTGCCCGAACTACCAAACAAACTAAACATGCGAATCGTAAAATGATAAAACGTGTGTTTGCTGCGGCAGCAGCAGAGTTCGCATCCGTAGCATGTCGCAAATTACACGTTTGCGCTTCGTAATTACTACCGATGCCAACAGCGAACGCATGTCACATGCAAATAAAGCCCCGAAAAATTATTAAGTAACAATCCCCAACTCGACGGAGGTGATTTTAATTGAAATTTTGCGCATGGCCTTCACGAACCTTGAAGCGTTTAACGCTAACAACAATTATTAGAAACTCGCTTTTTTCTGCGTTCGTGGACGCATTGCACAATCGGTACAATCAAAACAAAACGAAATAATCACCGGGCACTTGCCGAAAAAATTATTAGTGTTTGTATTTTTTTGACAAAAATTAGTAAATATCCAAAGTACTAGTTTGATCAAGGACGAAATCATATGATTTGCGGTCGCAATTCGTTGGTGCAAGTGCAAGGACACGTTAATCATCCAGGAAAACGCGCGTAGGTAATAAATGTCACGCGAGATATCAATATCGTAAACTGGTTTTCTAATTAAAATCTTTTTTACGCTCAGTAAATAATTGTGTAATTATAACCGTCTACATAAACAATTTTAAAGTCATAAAAGCAAAGAACAGACTACTATAAAGTGATGTTTATCAGCACATCAATTCGCAAATACTATTTTTGAAAATCAAGTTTTTTTACTAAAATTTATTTGATTTATTGACTGAAATCTAAAAATGCCACTATCTTTGTGGTTCTTTTACCTAAGTAGTTTTCAGCATGATAAGAGATCAAGAGTCGGGCGTCGCACGCGTCGCATCAATCGTCCCGACAAACATGGAGTGCGTGCGCTGCCACACTCACAACCCTCGTCGGCACCACCCTCGCACAGCTATCGATTGCGCAACGGCGTCGAGCACGACCACGATTGGTTGGTTCCAAGGAGGGTGCAAGCCACGCCGCTAAACTCACCCCTCACATACACACACACACACAGCAAAACACTTCTCACATAAAATCTATTCTAGTCCATCATACAACAAACTAAAAATCCAATGAGAAACTATTTGAAACGCACTTTAATCCAATCGAGGATGAAAATTAACCGTGACTTCAATCAAACACCTCCAAAAAACGAGTTGAAGATGTTCAGACATGTCCGTGATCGCGACATTCAGATCGCCCGCGATTCACACGAGTACCATCATACATGTGGAGCAATTGCAGCAATATACTCATGATATACACGCGGACGAGTAATACGCATTAGCCTTGAACGCGCACACGCACGTGTCGCGCACCTCACACGCCAAAGCTTTATTTCAACGTGTTCGAAACGCGCATTCTGCTCTAGATTTCAGATAACAAATTTACCTAGGTAAATCACGCTGGTGATAACTGGATAAATTTAAGTAGATATCTATTTATAGGTGTACTCACTTGGAAAGCCCTGTGATGCGGGTGATGGAACTGCGACGTCTGCATCATCTCTTGCAGAAGGTCGAGTTCCGCCTCGGCGGACCCGGGAGAGGTGCCCGAACCGGAGGCGGCTGTTTCAAGCGCCGCAAAACTTGCAGCCAAGTCAGAAGCTGGAGACGCTAGGGACGAGGTGGCGTTTGCCTCCTCGTCGTAGATGCTCCCCTCGTTGCTGGCCGCGATCGTCGCAGCCTCCGCGGAGAGTTTCACCAAGAGCTCAAGTTCCTTGCTTGTCGCGTTGTCATCCTAATCATTTTACACAATACAAGGTAATAAAATATAAAATAATACAAACAAATAAAGGTATAACTTACAGTTGTGTCGGAATCTTCATCCAGAAGGTGGTCTATGAACTCCGGGAACGGAAAAGGGAGGTCAGTGTTGTTGAGCGGGTCTTCTAACTCACTCTTTATCACATACTCTCCTGCAATTCACCAAACAACATTTAAGTTACACTCTATTGAGAAGATATTTTAACATAGATTACGTTTTAAGTTATTATCACTAATATAATCGCTTAATTTGGCTGTTGTAAGACGATGTATATCACAGATGCACCATCGACACTAATAAATCCTATTGTAATCCAAATTGGTCACCAATATATAATTCACCACAGCGCGCACAAAGAGACGAGACGAAAAAAGAGCAGCATCACACTGACTGAGCACGAATGCGAGGCGCGAGCGGAACTGAAGAACCCGCCAAGCCCATCATGGTGCACAAGAACGACGCCGATCTCCCCGCTTTGCGGGTCGTGAGAGAGCTCGCCGCTTATTGGCCGCGAGCGCTCGCATACCTGTCCGGCCGGTCGGCCTTCTACCTGCGATGGCTGGGCCCGGCCCACCGGCATCTAATTTAAAAAATATCTAATGGTAATGCCGAGTGCAGAGAGCCGAGCTAATCCATGTCGAGTCGTGCAGGCTCGATAATTACATTATCTCGATCTCCATGATCCCCAATATTCGATACATTCGATTATTATTAAGAATCTAATAGGATTTTTTCAAGCGGTAACAGAATTGACAGGAATCAAAAAGCGAATTAAAATAATCAATCTTGGAAGCAATTAGAAAACCGAATACCAAAAAATAACAATTTGTTGCAGCTATGTTGAAAATAACAAGCAAAAACAAGAGAAATGTGATTTTTCATCTTTTTTTACATATTCCAAAAGAAGATTTCAATTTTACAGTCAAATTGAAGTTTGTTTAGTAATATTTTTCTATCTATTCAAATTTTAACTTTCCAAAACAATGTTTTTCAAGAAGGATTAGGTTCAAATATACCCAAGAAATGCAACACGCTTAGTTAAATTTTGAATAAATCAACCATTCCTATTTCTCGCCAATTCGTAAAATAGGTAAGTGCTTATATTTGAAAAATAAATCGAAACAAAGATTTCCCACAAAAACATAAACATAAAAACGTTTTTAACTCTGAAAGCACACATTCAATGCAATTCTCTCAAAAAATTTAAAGTAACTAGAATTTTAAAATATATTCCTAACGAACTTCAAAGAATGAAAAGTTTGACAATGTAGAAGTGAAAACCCATAAAACTGTTTTCATATTCCTAAATTTGTGACACTCAAATACAAGAAAAAACCGGTAACAATGAGTAAGCACTCACATGTCCTACAAAATAATTAGTTATTAATCTCATGAGCTAGCCAATAGCTTGTTGCATGATGCTCACATGCTGAGAGTTAATTTTTAATTTTTATTGTACGATGCGGGCTCCAAAGATGATGGCGGCCGCAGCATGCGTATCATGGCCGCGGCAAGGAAACCATAAAGAAATTAATTAAGGTCGCCACAAACTTAAATAAAACGAAACTTAGAGCGACTTAAATGATTAATGAGACCAACGCCAGCGCGGCGCATGCAACCGCTCCCAGCCAATCATAGCCAGCTCTGAAGAAGAACCAGCGACGCAATAATAAACGTAATGCTCGAGCATCCGAGCACAAAGAGTGAAGAAACAACGAAATCAAAGAACGCCGATGCCGCGATGCGCTACAGTTAGGTTCGAGGTCGATGAGACTATACGCAGCGCTTCTCCGCAGCCTGAGATGTTGCCTTCATGAACCGCAGCGGCCGCCATTTTGTCGAGATGCTTCGACTTCGAGCACTCTTGCAAACACTACATCATCCATCTCAACAATTCAACACCAAGAGCAAATAAAAACAGTAAATACTTAGGAATCCATCAAAGAAATCAAAATTCACACTCAATAATAGAAGTAAGATGTTTACGATAGTATAAAAAGTTGAAAATCAATAAGTTTTGTTGTGATATCATGTCTGCAGGAAGTAAATTCCATCTGATTGAAGGCGTTTTACACGTTGCACAAATCCGTGTCGAGTTACGCGCGAGATTGTTAAAGAGTTGACTATATACTAGTGAAAACCACCCGAATCAGCATTGCTCAGCAATTACATTCAAGATGCTCGAATTGTGTAAATTCACTCTTGCTAAGCATGTTCTTCGCCGATGTTCGCGCGTCTCGAAATTGTGATATTATGATATTATGTGTGTCGGCCGCGCGAGCGGATAATAAACAAATTCAATGAGTTACCTAATTTTCGCTGTAAAAGGAAACTCACAATGCGCTAATCTCCAACACTTGAATTCCTCTTCAACGACTATCCACACACACGCATCACAACGATGATGTTGTTACATTTCCACAATGAATATTTCAATTATCACACACTGATAACTTATTTTAAGTTTATGTTGGTCAAGCGTTAAAGTTTGTTTAAAAAACTTGGTTATTTTATATTTTTTTGGCCGTAAAGGTGTGCTGTATGGCAGCTTATTCGCTTATTGTGCGATTGCACGTAGGAAAATTCGAAACAGAGAAAAATTTCTGGTCATGCTCGAATCCCAAGAGACGCTGCTCCCGCGGCTGGCCCAGCGACGACCATTAATCATAACTTACAGCCCGCGCAAACACAATGAATATTATTTTCGGGGACGTGCGCGGGGAGATATGACAAACGAAATTCATTAATATTGAATGTGAAATCCATTGTGGACTTAATGATTCTGGAACACGTCGCGTACCGGCGGCGCGCCGTGTTGCAGCCCGGCCCTTTTGGAGGACAAACATCGAGAGAATTTCATATTTCAACTTTGCAACCATCATAACTATTGAAAATTGTTATCCAAAGGGGCGCACCCAAAGAAATATGAAATATGAATTTATAGTTATGAAAAGGTAAGATTATTAATTGTTATAAGGGATCCCTTCGTCATTTTTTAGAAAAAAATGTGAAGATAATCTTTTAAACTTGCATTTTTTGACGTTTTAAGGTAAAATTTGAGTAGTTTTCATGTAAGAAAGATTGAAATTGTATTCAACATGCAGTTTACTAGATCAATACTTGATTCTCTAACAATTACCTTTTCCTGTAGCTCCATTCTCTGCTGTGATGCGTGTAAAATATTCCTTTGTTTCGCCAAACAACACAATAAAACAGTCCAACTCGAAATTCCGTTCTCTATGCGTGAAACAGATTTAAATTACCGACGTGCCTTATTAGAATTGAATATCTTGGATGAAGTCCACCGTCGCGATATACGCCAGGCGCGATTCGCTCGCAATCTGGCGTCGATTCGAGCTCGCGTTCGTCTTCGGCGCTCGCACCGCGGCCCTCGCGCTCGAAGCCAATCAGGACGCAGCCCGTAGCTAATATGGCTGCGAACGCAGCAAACAATGGGCGCCAGAGAGAAAGGGAGCTATTTCCAAGCTGGCGGATGCGGATATCACGCACAACTGCTCGCAGAAGTCGACGTTGGAGTTCCTCGCAGAAAAAGGACAACGGACCCGTAGCAACTGGAATCCAAATAGGGTTATCGGGAAAGGAATGGAAAGGAAAAGGGGAGGGCGCTGGAAATAAATGGATGGATCGCACCCTAGACACATTTATTTTCGTCCCTTGCACTACCCCTCTGGCCGCGTGTGGCTTTCGTCCTGCTAGGAAGCTTTATCAACACACAACTCCAGAAGTAAAGATAGCCAAGTAGCACACGAGAGGGGTTAGGTCCCTTCGCTCTATTCCTCGACCCCCAGTCGTGTCGTTGCAATAATTACATCCAAGAATGACGCAGCCATTTTGTACGTTGCTTTTTTATGTGTATACGAGAGCAGCGAACCGCATACTAGTATTCGAGTTTGAGTTCGAGTTATGCAAAAAACCATCCAAGATACCAATACCACCACCACCACAGTTGATATCAATGCTCCTCCACTCTTCTTCCAACTATCTCCTGCATCCCATTTCCATTATCTCAAATGGATGAGATCGGTAACGCGTTGTGATGCGTGCAATTTATCACTGATAATCATTTTTACTTCGTGATCGTTCACGATGTTCATTACTCACAGGAAAAATGCGCATTTACCAAGAAGAAAATAAGATAAAGACTTTTTAAATTGATGCCAAAATGATTTTAAGCAAAAAGTTAAAAACTTTTGAAGACTTTTCGACCCAGCTCTCGTCTAGTCAACCACTTCTCAAGGGCCTGTTCACAATAAATTCCCCCGGCACTCGGCGATGAGATACAAAGAGTGGACGCGTTGGCTTGTCTCGATAATCCACTTAAAAAGGTAAAAAAAAAGATGAAACATCCAGATACATCTTAATGATAATGGAATGGGCGATGCGCCGAACGCGACTGGACTGGAGGCACTTGTATAACACCAGAGGAACAAATTTCCAAAGAAGGGTCAAAATCGACAAGAGACAAGCAAAAGTGTCTTGTTGAGTGTTGTGGGCATTTGCGGTGGCGCACATATACACCCACCATGCTTTGCTGGACAAAACGGCCACTTATGGTAAACACTTTCCGTTTTAGATTTTTACAAGATTCCAGGAGAATTAAACGAATATTTTCCTTTCAAGCGCCTCCAAAAGAGATGTTCCGATAGTAGACCTAAACGTCGACGTTAAAATACTTGTTAAAAACTAATTTTCTCTTCAACTTCAATTCGGACGCATAAAAAAACAAACTAAACTTGATACAAATTAAATTTTAACAATGTGGATGCCTATTATTGCTATTGTTATTCACGTTCGTTTTTTTCCTTTTCAATATTTAATTTTTTTCCAAACGGATGTTTAAAAAATTCTTCAAACCACCGATGGCTGAGCCGCAGCCGTGTATCGAATGTTCGCGCCGGTCAGGATGCGAGTTAATTTTAAGACAGGTGCTTCTATAATAATAATAAAATGATCGTTCATCGTGAACGTGAAGAGTCTTCGCTCCGTGTGTGCGCAATGCAGTCGATTTGGAGCAACATTCATGATGACTACACACTTTTCATCATCATGAGGGGCCTCGACACTGGCCGGCAGCACCCAAAAGTCAAAGTTTCGGTAAGCAAGCCAACAACAAATGTTCAATATTCAAGATTCGCCCCTTAGCAACCCAGGAAAACTAATTTTTAAGAAGATATCACTTGATAATCGTAATTTTTCATTGAAAAAATGAAATTGAGATATCGCAGCATATCTCATTCGATGATGGGGCAACGAGGGGATGTCAACCTCGATGAGATTTGGATGCGTTTTCCTCGTTCCGACGAATGGCTAGCTGGTATACACATCAAGGGTTGCGTTCAAAAGAAAAACGCCACCTCATAGTCGAACGTTCCCGGCTGTCAGTGCGATCATTACTCATCGAACACGCCGCGCAGACAAATGGAAATCGAAATTGTGAAATGAAATAGGCAGCCAGTCTCCAAAAACCAGCGCGGCGCGGCGAAATATAATAGATAAAAGTGTACAAAGTGTACAAAATGCAAGATGCAATATCCCCCAGAGAGTCTCACTTCGCTTCGCGCAAATCCGTAACTAATCAACCTTTCCTTTTCGGCTCTAAACTTCCTCTTCAATTTCATGATACACGCATCAACAATATCAAAAGCAAATAACGCGGAAATTAAATAAAGTACCAACCTGTTTCGGTGTCGATGGTGTACGGGAGACCAGCCCATGGATCAGCCACAGCCTGACTTAGATCGTCCGATTCATTCTCGATCTGTAAATCATATAAATCCACACAAATGAAATCTGCAAGTTATAGAATTACCCGAGGTTTAATAATACCTTAATGCTGCCTTCATTGATCTCTTTCAAGGTTTTTAGCTTTTCCAAATCATCTTCTTGTGAGACGCTCGAGGAAGCTGATTGAATGAGACTGGCGTTCGTTTCCTTCTCCGGTTTTTCCGGCAAGGGAGCAACCGCATTCAGCGAGACGCCAAGATCAACGTCTTGCATCCATAAAACTTTGATTAGATCCATATCCTGTAACAAAAATTAATTTCCATGATGGTTAGTTGGTATACTGAAACAGGAAGTTTGGTGGGCAGGTCTCATTTCTTGGTCGGCCATGTTGGCGCGTTGTTTAAACGAAATTAATTCAGTTGATATCGTAAATTAGGCGCAGCTGCGTGCGTGACCGTTCGCCGGCGCGGTTGGCTCGTCGATTCATTAAAATAACGGCGTCTGGCTGGCAAGAACCAGACGCGAACCACAAAACGCACCACAAGCAGAGCAAAAGCCGCACCGCGCCACGCCATTCGATTCAATTCCGTTTCGTATCCTACAGCACCTACAGCAATTACAGGAACCTCTTAAATATTCCAAACTACGCACAAAACATTTATATAATATTTCATATGGTCTTTGCTAGGTACAACACCCTGTAGATACGAATAAAATTACATTTCGTGCTTGGTGCTTGGCGGCTCCGCGCCATGAATTCTGAATTCATATCATATCGTGCGGCGCACCGCTTCGCGGGTGTGCAGCAACGTGCATTACGACAAAAACTACATCACAAGAAAGGCAGCAGCGGCGCGAACATGCACGCCCGTGTGCCATGGACGTGGATGTAAAAGGCCAAGCGATTACGATTGCCGGCGCGCGGCTCGACAAGATGGCGGCCTCGAAACGACGCGGGACGCCGCAGCCAAACCCGCCGCAAAGCGAAAAAAACGAGGCAAGTAAAAGGTGCGGTGAGGTAGTACAAGATATTTCGCAGGCGATGGTTCAGGTGGGCGAAAAAGTGGCAAACCCTCGAAAAGAAACAAAGCAAATATTCGCGGAATCAGCATCAAAATTCGCAACGCCCAAAAGTTCCAAGAAAGTAACTTATTAACCGCAAAAATAATAGTGTTATAAAAAGTACAGCCAATCAAAAGGTTTTTCTTATGAAACTTCAAGTTCATGACGCGCAAAAAATAGAAAATTTAAATTTATTAAATCAAAAATTACAATTTTTTTTGTTTCCGGAAGTATTTTTAATAAATAATTACATATTCAATTAAAAAGTTAATACATTTCACTTGTCCACCCACTTTTTAACGTTTAATTTGCAAAAACCCCCTCAAAAAGTTTCTAATTAACTTTTCGGAATGTTTTTTACCGAATAAAAATTATAATTAGATTTTTTTGGTAGGCATTGTCTTCACATTAGCCAATTTAAAATTTCTGAAAGCAATCGCTCGATTCCATCTAATATTCCTATTAGAATCGTTAGATAATCACCGCCTCGCCGCCGTTGAATACCTCTCGACGTTCTCGAGCAAAACGCGGCACGGCGCACCAAACAAAAACAAAAAAAAAAACATTAATAAGTGAATGTACACTGTAAATATATCCATCGATGCATGCGAGAGCTCTACAGCTGTACGTATCCACGTCCAGCGTTTAATTTACCGCGCGCTGATACGCTGATACGCCGCGATACGACGTCGTTGGCTTAAAATAACGAATAATTATTACAAAATCCATTCTCTTGCGCTATATGCTGTATGTGGTGTGTATAATACATATGCAAGGGACGTGCATGTTTGAATATGTTTCCAAGTTGTAAACGTCGTAGCCGGCGAGATAATCTTGACATGCAATCTGTATTACCATGCAACGAACCAATGTAAGGAAAAATGATTAAAAATCCTCGGCATGGTGTTCGGTATTAAACATTTTACTATCAAAATGTTTGCGATAAGCAACTCATCATAACTCTTATTATAAATACCTACGAAAATATCTGATTGGTATTTATTGATTATTTATTGATTAGCGATTTTATAGCTTTCAACACGAAATGTTAAATATTTCGGTTGTGTAAACAGCGTCAAGTTAAGCCTTCTCCGAATGAACAATCGAGCAATAGCGCGAAGAAGCGTTGCTTAAGCAAACAGTCTTTTGTCGAGAGAAGATGTTGAAGCACTGCACAGATGAAGACGAAACGGCACTGGCACAAGTGCTTGCTTTCCACTGCGATGCAAAAATAAATATTTATCTTAATAGTTTGAGCTTATTTTATTAGTTTCGCTGTCAATCGATCGCAAAAGTAATTAATAGAGTCGCGGTACTCATAAAATTTATATTTCGATTATATTATTTATTAATTATTCGAAAACCAATCAAGTTATCTTTATAATTTCTTCAAAAATATATAAAGTATTAAATTCTAATCCTATAAATGTAAAAACTATATTGATATTAATAAATTATTAAAAGTTACAGCATAATTTAAACCAACTTCCTATTTTGTATCAAAATTTAACTTTAATTGTTTATAATGTTTTGTTCTAAATTTTGACAATTAAATTATCATCGTAGTTTTAAGAAGAATTTAATGTAGAATTTATTTACAAAGGAATTATAACTTGAACTCAAATACTCAATAATACTCAAGTTATTAATTAAAAAGTAAAACAATTGAACTATAAATCATACCTTGTGGCGTATTAAACGTGACAAATTGGAGTTATTCAGTAATTACTTAAAAAGCCACAAACTTTCATTAATGGCTTATTCAAAAATTAAATTCCGCACTTTACTATTATTAAATTTTATTGCTAGCAATTTTTAATCAATGGTTACAACTTAATTTAAACGATAAGATTTTGGACATAAATCAAATTAAATCTTAGTAACTTTTCATGCAATAACTTAATCACCAAAATCTTTTCACATATTATAAAACATCGAATAAACTTCAACACAAGTAATAAATAACACCGAAATTATTTTTGAGTAATCAACTAAAACTATAACTATCGCCCTACACAAACGCTCTGCGCCTATTACTGATAATATTTTAATGAAATAAATCTTACCGCTTGTTTTGCTACGGCAATTGTATCCATGTTTAAATTGTTTTAATTAATTGACTATCCGATTGCGCGAGCCTCTGGCAACACTAAATTGGCATAACGCGACGCGACACACTTAAAAACCGACTGAGGACAATCGCGTTATTCGCGTCGATAATGAACAAAACGCAATCACTCGCTTATCGATAACGGCGAGCACCCAAGTCCATATCACAACCGTGCGATATTGCCAATTTGATGACCCAAATTGGGCCTTTAATTAGCTTATCGCTCACGATTCGACGCGCCAGACAACCTCCGCCGAGATTATTAATTATTTAAATACAATTTACAAGCTCAAAAATTCAATGGTAACGAAAATAAAATGATTTTTTCTCTTCTTTAAAATCAGCTCTGATAAGTACATAAATTACTTCTGATTGGTCGGCGGGTGTTTTTCTTACTCTTCTTTGTTTCCCAAAGAGAAAAATGCGAAAGGCGAGTTGCGCTCCGCTCGTTTCCATTCCATTTTCGTTCCGTTCGCCTGTTTCGCTGGTGCCGCCGCTCAGATATTCCCATTACGCGAGAATCATTTATCATGTCACCGAAACGATTGATGCATGGAGACGCACACGGTGTGTGCATGCACCTATAGCGACGACGCGCCGCCGAGCAAAAGAAATCGAATCGAAGCTTCGAGCCAGAGCCAACGAACAAAAAGCTCACGACCAACATAGGTAGAGCTTTTTCCCAAGAGACGGAAGAGAGAAAAACGCAAAAATTGCAACAAAAACTTAATGTAAACGCAACATCAAAAATATTATAGATTTTTATAAATTACCTACTAGCTATGTGATAGTACTCTTGCTTATCAATGCCAACGCCGATAATTCCACACTTGAATACTAATCAATTGATTAAATCGTCTGTGTAAAAAATATAAGTATTTTGGTACTTAATTTACTCTCCACACGTAATAATCATATCAAGAATGTAAATGACTCATTACCTGCTATCATAAACTCGGAGATATGACATTTTTTTGAGTTAATCAATACTCAATGCGCATATTATTGAGTATTATACATTTTTCACGCCAATTTCCACCGTTTATCAGCTGGAATTAAAATTAAATGCAGCATTGCTAGACGGGGTTGTATCCGTAAAGCAATTACAAGCCATCCCACCTTATCAGATATTCTCCACGTCAACATGCGGTCGCGCCGAGTCGAAAAGCATTAATATTAATAAGAAAGCGCGGATGAAAAATGATTCCGGCGCAATATAAAAATGGATCGGCGAGGAAAAAAGCGCGTGTGCGCGCCCGCCCCGCGCATTCAATATGGCCGCCGTGGGTTTCTTCACTGCGTGGCTGAGAGTCGTTCTCGAGGCCCCCTGATGCTCCATTAACAATCTTTCATTAGTTCGGCTCGTGCAGTTCGCCATCATGCCCTGCAACTCTCTGCCTTCTCCCTTCTTTGTTTCCAACCCATAGAGATGTACCTATAAGAGGAAGAAGTGATGATGAAGGAGAAGAAGAAGTAAACGCAATACGAAGTGCTTTTCGATCGATGCTGCTCTTGAAGGCACGGCATGTTTTGTTGCGTTGTTTTTTGTACGTCGTGGGTCGATTAAAAATGAACGCGAGGAGGGTACAGGGCATCATCTTCGCCATGTACGGCCGGGGTCACCAGTCACCAGACGCTCGCCGCGCTGAAGAAATGAGCCGTGACCACAGCGGCGTACAAAAGCACCGCCGACATAATCAATGCCGGCCAATCAGTGGCCGCTCTCTTCGGATAAACTATTTTTTTATTTTCTACATGCCTCAAGAAAATTTCAGAAAGAAAAAAAAAAGAGAAGACAATTAGCGATAATCATTTATCACTTTCTGTTTGTATAAATGCCTAGGCCTAGTATTTCCACAAAGTCGATAATTACTTGTAGTACCAGGTCAAAAACCGCAACAAAACCCTTTTCCTCGACCGCAATGTAACTTTCCTAGCAATAATAACATTTTATGGTAGTACTGGTGCCATCCGAAAGTTTAAACCTGTGAGCCCTTTGTGGCCCAACAATGCGGTCGGAAGATTATTAACGTTGTGCAGCGCGCGGGAGGAGACAATCGCAATCCGTTTGACAAATGACTTTTTCAACAGATCTCGCCTTATTCCACCGACTGTCGAACTGTCTCAA